CAAAGTACGCAAAAACGTGGGAAAAAGATCGTACTTCACGATGATTCTCTCATTATCATGAATCTTGATCACAGCTCTGAGCTTCCTTTCACTCTGCAAACAGGGAAGACTGGATGCTCTGGTACGAAAAATTGAACAGGAGGCAAAAAAATCTCGAGATTGAGCCATCAACAGTTATTCAGCTTAACTAGGGGAAGGATAACAGACATCAAAATCATCCAAGACTACGTGAAGTAACGTTTACAAACTGTTGTGGCATGGAGGATGTTTCGCTGGTCAGTCGCTTGTCAAAATCAGAATCGTATATCACGATACTGACTGATAAACCATATCCTCAGCGCAATCTCGTCAAGGAAGAAATATCATTGTGCGTGGTGTCCCAGAAAATATGGACATTAAATTTACAGCCCTTGAAGCTTAAGAACGTATTAACCTAACAAACAATGTGATTATCCAAGGCCCCAACCAATGAAGACAACCTCCCCATCATCTCAGATGGTGGCTCCCACTCTCTAAGAATTTCGCATTAGCAAAAGCCGGTCGCCAACTGGAATCTACATACATCCGGACAGGTCACATGGTGCAAGGGTTAGGCTTAAATCAATATCTTGACTAACTATTCCACCTATTTTTGGTCAAGAGCAAAGAAACTACGTAGAAGGGACAGGGACTAGCAAATTGGAAAACCTTGTGTACGTGGGTTGTTTGTCCATTCGCTCAGGGCTCATTCAGATAAACAGGATAGGGAAGCTCATGCGTTTCACGTCGAAAAGAAGAACTGCCTCCAAACTAACGCTGAGAGTGTACCGAACAGAAATGGATGATTTTCATGAACCAATTAACTATAATGATAATCATCTGACAAGAATAATTGAAATATGAGCATCTTCTCAAATTATAGACTAAGAGCTTACACACCATGCATTTGTTCCGCAACGATGGAAAAATCAGAACGAGGAGTGCAGCAACCCTTTATCTACGATCTTGCTTAGTAGCACATCAATTTAACACCTAAGAGTTGGAGTAATCTACAGGAAACTGACTGCTAACACAAAGTATGGCAATCAAATGTCGTGTTTATCCCTCTCTTTTCGTCTCGGATGCACTCATATATTGAGTGTAGAAGACTTCAATCTTCCTTAAGTCCATTTCGTTGTGCACACATAAAGTGAAGTTGACAATTCTACTGACGCCCGGTAATCAAACTTCATTCTAGATCGGGGATTATTCGAAACAGATCGGTTGCGAAATATTCAGACGCCGTCGTGCCTAGACTGCATTTTTACGAACGAGAAATTCTTAATTGTCAGCCTCTCATTCTTTTTTTACGCCAGGAAAAAGTGATTATACCTTCGATTTTATCTGCAAAACGGAGCTAAATCATCATATTAACAACATGAGTTGGAATTAAAAACGACCTTACAGTCAATCTGCAGCAGGTTGACTGGGACACTCTTACTGAAATTAGTGTGAACACTCACTAGAATTTCTTACTGCACACGATATTATGTACTACAAAAGAACCTGTCCCACAAACAGTCTTCGAAACTTAAAAGCAACACACAGTCATAAAGAATAACGCTCTTTGAATACTAAGATGCAGAAGGTACTTCAAGGCGGAATGCAAGCGAAGTGGTGACGGCATCACATATAAGCACTTCAAACAAGAAAGGAAACGATGCACAAAGGCAGTAAGAAAAGACAGACTTCAGGATCAAGTAGAGCCAATCGATAAATTCGTCTCCAATCAGAAGAGCTTATTCCATCATGCGACCTTTCAATAAGCGAAAACCGAAGTTGCTTGTTGATATAAAGAGTCAATGAGAAGTAGTGAAGGGTCAATAGACGGTAACCAGAGGTGACCTGAAGGTCGATTGCATTTCGTCGGGGTCAATAGGTCATTTTCCTAAAGATAGATCGGCAGTTATACAAGTGAGATTTCCGTATTCCATTTGGTAGCCTGATATACTTTCCTGCCTATTCTTGTGTTCTCGCTCAAATAGTCAGTTTAGTGTTACAGCATAGCAAACGTGCATCAGCATTAGATATCGAACACCACACATCACAGCACATAATGTTAGGTTTTAACGAATCAGCCAAAAACGACGGTGATGGCACAACGCACTTGACAGACTACGTCGAAGAGAGCTTCACCTGAAACTCAAAAGAACCCTCGGAATTGAGCCTGTCTTGGTGTATCAGAAACTACAGCATCTAAACAAGGACACGTCTCTTGGTCCGGATATGGTTCATTCTGCTACATTGAAAGAAACGTCTCTAATCTTGACAAAGTGCTTTGTGTGAGGTACGACCCCGAGAAATTGAAAGGTGGTGCATATTACACCAATTTTCAGAAAAGGCTGACGCAGTGAACCTCTAAATATGTCAAAGGTATTCGGTGTTTGATAGTGTCTTATAATCGTAGTATACCAACCGAGTTACATCAAAAGTCAGAAACGAAGTGATTCGAAGATATATTTGGAAGAATATAAATATATCGGGAAGCGTTTTGTTTAAGCTGGCTAAAGGTTTCAACGGGTGTGTAGCACGGCTCATCGACCCGTGATTTGGTAAGGATGTGTGACGGGACGCCTTCAGCTAGGTGTGTCCATCAAAAGTAATGGTGTCAGCATTAAATGCCGAGGACTTACAGAACTTTTCATTTTGAGGATTTATTTACCGCTACTCCTTTAAGCTACCGGTCGGCAACATTTCCCCCAACACCCGCAGAAGTTACAGAGTCCATTATATACGATGTTCTACGTGAATGTTTATGATCCATAAACTTCTTTCTACCTCAACAGATCGGTTTCAGGAAGAGTCACTCTTATATAACAAACCTGCTGACCACAGTGAACAACAATCCTTGATCGCAAAGAGGAGATTGGTGCCACATACTTGAATTTCTCAAAAGCCTTTGATAGGGTCAACCATAAATGCTTCTTCAATAAGCTCAAAGTTCTCGGTGTAGTGACTGAACAGCCAATATTCGGTTGGAACAACGGACTGAGGAAGCCAAAATTTATTCGATTAGACCAGACCACGTTCCTCTGTATAGCTCACAATGCGTTTTTGAGATACTCGTATTATATTATATCAAAACACAAACTCTGTGCTCAATATAAACGGTTCTAATTAAGAAAACAGAACAAATTACATCAAAAATACAAAATACCTCAAACGGTACAGCCTGTGCTATACGGTCAGAAGTTTCTCTAACGCAAAGTAGCGCGCTAAACAATGAAAGAGACAGTTAATACTAAAGGGTTTGATACCTGAGAATCAATACAAATATTCCCAACAAGAGGGGATCAAATATCTATCTGTAGGGATTCCAGGAATCCTCCCAAGCAGACAGTCAGAAGGTTAACAGTCACAAATTGAACCACGCCGTGACCTAGAGCTTAGTCAAACACGACCTTACTCTCAATGGTCCGGCAACATGCAATCGAAAATTAGGTAACAAAAGATAAGTCTTTAATCAATATCACATAATAAAGGCTCAAACGAAGAAGACTGAAGAATAAAAGATATGGTTAAACGAGATCGGAACAAAGGTTAAAATACACAACAGGGAGAAGGAATAAATAAATGACAATACTGTTCAACAAAGAAGATGTAGAGGGACTTTCACTGTTCTCTTTCCGTTACACTCGGTATCAAGCCACCATCAATAGAATGGGTTGCTTCATATCTAAATAAAAGACGCTTTAAAGTCATGGTGAACTTTACATTGTATCGGGATAGAGAATGTTTTATTTGGGTCCTCAAGATTTCAGTACTAGGTCTTTTTCTTTTGATAGTTTATATAAACAACCTTTCTCAAGTAGTACCGTCTGACTTGTCATTTTACGCCGACTATGTGAAACTCTAGAACGAAATTTACAACCAATATGACAAGCTGGCACTTCAGGGGGATAAGACTCGAACTTAAAGTTAAGCGGGTGACAACGGACTTACATTAAACACTTTAAAATACAAGGCAGTTCATCTGAGACATGTAACAGACCACTCATACAACTTGGGCAACTCCTCTTTGCTGGTATTCCAAGTTGGAAAAGATACGGTGTGTTTGTACCTTATGATTTGAAGTCCTACTCTAACTGCGACTGCTTTTGGGAGAACCTTGCACTGATAACGTCTAAGCATAATTTTCCCAGTTTGGTTGTAGAACTTTCCACTTGATCTTCAACAGTCTTATTCGACCCCATTCAGAGTATGGGAATATAGTGTATCCTCCACCACTCTAAATGGATAAGAATACATTACAACGTACTTACAAACAAGCCACGAAATGAGCTCAAGAATTCGAACTAAAACTTTATAGGGAGCTCCTTAAATCGCTGAATATTTACTAATCAGAGTACAGGGGTCTTAGGGGTGTTCTCCCAATGAATTACAGCATCCTAAACATGTCACGGCATCCCCTTAAATCCATGCATAAACTCAGTCTCAACACAAATCCTAGGGGTAACATCCAGAGACTAGAGGCACGACATGAAAGAACGGGCTGTAGGTACACTTTCTACCTCTTAAGAGTAGCCAAACGTTGGAATTCGCCGCCGGATGAGCTAGTTCAAGTGACCTCCCTTGAGTCCTTTAAGAGTTGACTCGACATATGCATAAGGATTAAGGACAGTATCTCGCATTAATTTACCAGTATTTTTTCTCTCATTATCGTTAAATATACCCAGGTTCCCGCTTAATGGCATCAGTAATCAAGTGCTACTGGATATGGAAGTCTGTTAGGCAGAAGATTTATTCCATCCAGAACCGTGGGTTTCAATTGATGGGTGTTTAAAGCAAGTATGTCAGATAAATAAAAACCTGAGGCAAAGTCGCAACCGTAATATTATCAAAAAGGCGTAAAAGTAATGGAATAAGAAGGAATAGGACTAATTTCGTCTCACGGTTGTCAATTGGGAAATGAATGCAACAACTTGTTTTTACATTTCAATGCCATAGGTACTTTTTGCCTGTAGTTAACCACAGTTATAAAAATGACTGTTGATGTGACTTCAAGGTTGCATGAGCAGTCTGAACTGATAATGACTCTAAAATCAAGAGCTGACTCTGAGATGGAACGCCGTAAGCAAGCTGAATGTAAATTATTAGATGAACTGAACAAAAGTCACGATCTCCAGCAACAGCTTTTGGAATGCCAACAGAGGCTAGTAACTTTAATAATGACATCATGTTGACTTTTTACAGAGTTTCCGATGCTGAAATCAATAACCGCGTGTTGCGGTCTACATTAAATGATTTAAGTTATGAACTTTTTAGCAAAACGCTAAGTAAGAATACAAACACTGATTTAACGAGAAGAGATACATTTGTTCAAACTGGGGACGAATTTTGTCAAAGTAAAGTGGTTTCAGTTGAGGCTTCAAATACAAGAAGTTTTAAACAATATTTATGGAAGTTCAGGTTTGTCGTGATCAGTATATTGTTAAGACAGCTGACAATGATAATTTTGCTTATCTTAAAGAAGATAAAGGTTACTTATTACATTCATTCTCATGTATTATCATCTGCCAGCTAAAATTCATTTAAATTGACTCAGATCAGAACGCAATAAGTCCAAGGGTAAGGTATATTTCAACCAAAAGATTAGTAATAAAAATGGAATTTTACATAAAACTCAACTAAGGAAACATTTGATTCGTTTGACGGCCTTAATTTTTCCCATTTTGATAAGTCGGAGTGTTAAAATTTGAGTTTGATTTGGGCATAAAGTCGTCAGGGTTTCTTGATGAAATCCATTTGCATCAGTCTGATTAGTTTGTGTTTCTGATTTATCTATCTCGATAGTTAATCCTTCGCTACTTTCTTTATGTCCAATAAACCGGGTCTGATTGTCTTCTTTGTTTCAATTCCACAGGTATCTAAATAAATTTTAAACCTTATTCCATAGTTATTCTAACTGCTGGGAATACAAACGCTTTCAATCATTTAACATGTATTCAGTCTTCTGTTTATTTAAGGGGTTTAAAGCTAGTTTTTACTGACCTAAAGCTATTTAGTCATGAACATAGAAACCGACAAAACTATCCATCAGTTCGAGTTGAGAAACCATCTAAAAACGACAAGAGGACATTATGTGGATAAAAGTCGAAGTAACAGAAGTAGTAACAGTTTTTCTAGTAATTAAAAAAAAACAGAGTTAAGTGATTGACTTATTTGTTTTGGAAAGGATTTTGCTAGCTTTATCCAAACCTGCTATATAGCCATCATCGTGCATCTAGGAAGAAGGTGGTTGAATGTACACAATATATGACTAAAAATTATCCTTTTGTGCTCTACAGTATTGGTTGGATTGTTTCCAAGCAAATTTGTCCCTTTGGGACTTATGACTTGGAGCTACAACAATAACGCTGAAGAATGTACGCAAACTTGTGTAGCACAATAAATTTATAGAAACCTCTTTAAAAAAGTTGTGATCCTCTTCCAGTTATACTTTCTCAAATAGTTTTGCTATGCACCAAAAAAATTGTTCGGTTTATTTGTTTGTTTGGCTGGGAATAGAACGGTGTTTATCCGATTACACTGACTCCATTTTGTCCTAAAGCAAACTTGGTATCTTTTCTTGCTGACAGATGAACTTCTGCTGTTATCCAGTGATCACAATAAAAAACAAAAGTGGAGGTTCTTTATAGTTTGCTCACTAAATGTTAACGTATCTTGATTAAAAACATTGACTATCTGTCAATGAATACAAACGGTTCCGATAAGCGTTGACGGAAATGTCCACCAATACAAAATCTATCATCTCTGGACAAAAAACATAGCGTTCTACTGTCAATTAGGTAAAATACTCCATTAGGATATAATCCGTTGAAAAGGAACTGATAACATAGCTAATCAATAAGTTCCGAAATAGTAACGGGTGTATTTTGAATGATTTTGTTAGAAGGTTTCATTTACAATGAACTAAGTAGATCTTAGATTTGGCTGCACAAGACAGTGATGTCAGATGAGCTGTTAATCTGGAGACAATAAAATACTATTGATTGGGATTATAATAAACTTTTTATCAAACAGTCAATGCAAACGAAGTCACTGAAATTGATTCCTATAATAGGTGCTTCCAGAACAGATTATTACGTTTAAAGATGGCATGCTCAACGCAAACTCAAATTTGAACACTCCGACTTATCAAAATGGGAAAAATTAAGGCCGTCAAACGAATCAGATGTTTCCTTAGTTGAATTTTATATAAAATTCCATTTTTATTACTAATCTTTTGGTTGAAATATACCTTACCCTTGGACTTATTGCGTTCTGATCTGAGTCAATTTAAATGAATTTTAGTGGGCAGATGGTATCAAAAGAGAAAACATGTAATAAGTTTGATTTTTTGGTAAAACAATTACATTATTAAGACACTGTGGCGTTGAATACTGACTTGTTAGCATGTTCTAAAATGATCAAAACCTCCGCTTTATACATACGATTGAGTATTTACTTACGTCAAGTTGGCTTTATGAGCAATATGAAGACAAAATGCTTCATAAGGGTTCCATCGGGAGTTTTCATCAAATATTACCCTGGTAATCACTGTTTTAGATTCTCCGAATAATGTATTCATACGTCGGATACTTAGCTAGCTATTGCCCTTAACTTTGTCTTGGAGCTTATCAGTATCAAAATTTAATTCACTGTTCGTTTAGCGGTAGAAATATAATGCACTGGTGAAGTAAGTTCTCATTATATGTTAAAAAGATATATTTATCAACTAGATTCTTGAGGGGATTACTCGAAATGTTCGAAATGCGCTAGTTGCTATGTTTTTAAACCTGGACTAAAAATATATGCAGTTAGTTAGTGATATGTTGTTTAAACAAGTTTAGACTTTAGATGTCTTAATTTTACTTTTATAAAGAAATTCTTGAAATAAAACCGATCTACACACTCTGTATCCTCTAAGTTTAGAACTTCTAACTGCATTCTTGTCGTCTGCTGATAGTTTTCAAATTTACTTTTTCAATGCAATAACCTAGATTTCAGAACATGTAAAAGTCTAAATTTTGAAACTACATAAATTTTCCTAAGGATAAATGGCATATAAATTCATCTGTTTAGGTAAAATTGAAATACCATTTGAGAAAATAATATCAAAAGCAAACATTTGTATAGAATATTTATTAATCAAAACGTCGAAGTTCCGTTTGTAAGAGAAACATTCGGATAGTAGCAAAGTTTCGAAAAACATGTTGTTGATCATATGATCATTTGCCTGAATCCTGCCATAACCTGAATTCTATCTCATTTAAATCATTATTGCATTGTTTTATGATAGGATAATCGTCTTGGCAAAATAGCAACATAAATGAGGCATATAGACTTATAGTTTTCAGAATGGATACCTCTAACAGAATGGATTCTTAGCTAGTCAATTGACCTAGCGTTAATCTAAGTATACAGGCATTCATTTAAATTTACATTATTTAGATGCCTGAAGTTTTATTTTCAAGATTTTATGACATTGTTTTCATGACAACGAGATCAACAACGCAGGTTCTTGTGAGTGTACTTTTCTTGGCCGTTTACTTCCCTTTCCCGATATCTAGTTGCTTTTGCCTGGCATAAAAGAAATTGAAGAAATATACAACTCGTCAACAATGATTTTATAATGGATTTTATACATTTGAGTAGTTTGAGTCATATGATGCTTAACCACAGTATAAGTTGCAAGGAATATATAGTACTGTTTTTTCTGTATTTGAAGGGAGTTAAAACAGGAGAATAATAAACTTTTACAACTGACAAATGAGATGAGATCAATATATACACAAAATCTCAAAACAATTCAAAATCGTTTGAATTGCTTGACAGACTTAATCTCGACAGTTTGTAGTTCTTATCTAAAAGTAAATCAAGCCTATCATAATGATGATGTCAAGTGGAGAAATGAAAGACAAAACTTATCCTTACATCTAGAGAATGAAAAGCATTTAACTGAAGTAGGTAGTATATTATTGAAAATTACTTTGACGATTTGAAAGATATTCTTATTGTGTGTTTGGTGTAAATGATTTAACTGTTTGATTGAAATCACCAGAATTCTACATAACTTCAGCTTAGTTGTCTGAAATTCAGGAAGGCATGAATTTCCCATTTAAATGCTCATTTATCAGACATTATTGATCACTTGGAAATATCACTCAATGGTTACTTAGTAGTTAGAGATAATAAGACAACAAATCATTCATGTGCATTAATTTCTAGAACTGAATTAAATTCTGGCAGTTACTCTTCACGAAAAACACTACCTGATTCAACGGTTCAAAATTTTCGTGATAAATAATAGTATGCGTACACTAAAGTTAATAAAAGGTCAATAATACAGTGGTTGTAATATAAATCGAGAAACTAAATTTTAAAAAATAGAGATATTTAGTGGTTTGAGCTATACACTCTCCAAACGAAACAAATTACACAGATTTAAATAGATTGAACTATCATTTATAGATGAAGACATTCTGAATTTAATTACATAGTAACAAACCCATTATCAACTAATGGCACTTTATTAAGGACATTTAGTTAGTATAATTAGACTGCTAACATCAGAACTAGCTAACAGGTTAGTACAGAGATATATCTGAATCAAATCATTACTCACATGAAATTAAACCGAATAACTCAATTTACTCCGACTTGTTTCACTAACATTCGAGCAGTATAATTGGATATTCATTCAAAATTCAAATGCAATTTAATTAAAAATTTACATTTAAGGGTTTTTTAAACAGTAAAATTGTGGACATTTAGAGACTTAGATAAATAAATATCACAACATTTGCTTCCCAAGAATGTCTGCTAGTAGATAGGTCTATGTCATCTAAGAAATTATCTCAGTCAAATATTTCGTGTTGTACAATTTGGGTACAAACTAAATCATTATCATAATTTAGATTTTGTGAAGTGACGATGTTATTGAGATTGCTTTCAAGATATCGAATGGTATTTTGAAACTTGGTAGGAAAAAATTTAAGATGTTCTTATCTTGCCCTGAAGTTTTTCAGAGGCAAAAAACACAGTCTTTAGGAGAAGTTATAATTGTCAATAAGCTTGTCGCTACAAATGTTATTCGAAAGCATTTTGAAACAAATTATCCTCAAATGATATTATTTTTTGAAAAAAATGGTTTGTGGTGATTTATTACATGAAACCATTACACGTTCACAATTGTTTATGAAAATGATACCATCAAATTTCCGAATACCATCTCATCTGGTTAAGTAAAAGTAAATGAATGTTGATTAAAAGCTTTATACTTGGTTGATTAACTCAAGACATCAAGTAAACTTAAACAACTATTTTCACGTTATCTTCTGTGTACCACAAAGTTTTCAGCATGGTTTCCATGTATATCTTTGGTTATAACTGAAACTATAGGGCTCCTTACCAACAAACCTAGCCTTTATGTTCATAGAAAATCGTGCGAACCATTTCTCTAACTTGGCTTCATAAAGAACAAATTCACTCTTGACTGACTGGTTTTTGCCATAACTTGTGGCCTGTGTGACCTGTTAATGTATAATGTGATGAAACCGCCAATTATAGAACAGTGAATGATCGATTGGACCAATGACGCATAAAACCCGTACGAGCAGTCTACAGTACTTATCGGTCCTGCTTCCAGCCTATCCCAGCCAGTTAAGTCTAGAACACCAATCTCAGCCTCTGTGATATGAATCATTTACTTCAAACATACTGAGTTTATATACAAACCAAACAGACCATATCGTATCATAAAATAGGAAACGACATTTGTAGAAGATTTAGCCAAATGTGGCTGTGAATATAGGTGGGGGGTAGTAATCGATAGACATGGCATAACTCAATAATGATAAATGGTATAATAACAGTTAATAGGACAAAATAAAGCTTATGATAAGAGGAACGCAAACATGAATAGTTTAGTCACTTAACAATTATACAATATAAATATACGCGTAGCATTGGTTCATAAATGGGTCCTCAAAGTTACCATTCATTATTCTCATCAGGATATAACAGTTTTAATTTTTGTTGAGAAGTTTAGAACGTGAATCAAATCATAATAGTGAAATGTAATATTCTATCACAGAGACTAAAAGTCCATGGTTTTCTTCTCGGTGTTACCATAAATGGACATAACGAAAAAGTCCTGAATTAAGAATGATGAATATCTCTCAAGTATCGAAGGATCTACACATATAATGCAGATAATTTCCAGTAGTAATGGAAATTACATTCAAACTAAAAAGAAATCAGAACGTTTGATCAATAAATTTCAATAAAAATCAGCTAATTTTAGTAATAATTAATTCGGTAATTCTAAGTTAATTATCTTTTCTTTCAGGAAATACGTATTAAACTAAATATCATGGAAGCAGAGAAGAAAAAAATAGAAAAGGCCATAAACAAACTAAAAGAACAAAGAGAGTAAGTTGTTATATGAATGCTGTTTTTCTTCATTATTAATTCAATGGAGACTTTTAAATAGAAAGTCACTTTTAGATGGTGGTTGGAGGTAGTCAACAGGAAACCCTGGACCCGGGTTTTGTGCTACTTGGCACTCGTCAGCAAGGTGTACCTGTAATCTTGAGGGAACTGGTGCTCCCTGGCGGATTCGATCTCGTGTCACCCAGCTTCACAGTCAGAGACGTTACCACTGAGTTATCCGAGTCGTGACTAACCTCCTGTAGGACTGAGATGTAATCACAATTGATTGATCACTGGGTGGTGATCAATGTCATGTGTGTCAAGTCCTTATTTGGCACCAGTTCCCGGGTCCAGAATTTCCTGTCGACTAACTCCAACCACCATTTAAATCTCAATACATAGTGCCCACAGTGTCGAGTCACCTAGACTGGTGGCCACATTGACACATGATCGATAGCATTCGATCTGCACTAATAAGAACTAGACAAGCATGACATTGATCACCACCCAGTGATCAATCAATTGTGAGAAAGTCACTTTTGATGATAGGCTATTCTAAAACTAGAAAACAAGATCATAGTTTTACTGTTGAATTAAATCCATAAATCTTTTGCATATTAATGCATGACTACATAATTAGCATTGATTAAAGAATAAAATGACTATATTGTTTGAATATTACCTAATAAAAAGGTATAAGTTTAGTTGGTTTTCTGTAATTATTAGCTTTCGTTTATCATACAATATGTGGAAATCATTTAAAACCGTATTACTAGGTTGTCTATAAATTGAGATAGCTAAAATTTTGACCTGAGTTTGACCATAGTAAGTGAAGAGGTTGAACATATTTTGCACACGCTAAGATCCGGATTTTTAATCTGTATAGCTATTCCTTCTGCCATTTGAAGGACTTCGAATATAACATATATTGGTGGATAATTGCTATCATAATAAACAAGTGAAAACGATTGATTTATGCTAATAGTATGATCCAGTTGAGCTAGATGTGCTTAGATAGAACTTTTTACTTAGCTACATTGATAAGTATTCGTAAGAATAAAAAATGTAACTTTTTCTAACACTAATTGACCTAACTTGCATAGACCTAGTCAAGTCAACATTTAGATACTAGCAGTTTTATTTTACAAATAATCCTTGAATTCATATGCAGTAATTTTCAAAGATATATCTACTTCAAGGTTGTTTATCACTTTGAGTTATTGAATTTGAACTTGTAATGACGAAAGTTATCATCAACAAGAATTATATTTATGGAAAACATGTACATAAGTTAGGCCATTCATTCATCCATCAAATGTGTATTATGTTCACTCCATAAAATCATTTCGATCCATTTATCAGTCTACTTGGATACATTCTGAATTGTCTCGAATATATAATTGTGTAATCAACTAACTTGACCATAGCATCTGAGATGTCGAAATCCGATTGTTTATGGTTTGATTGTCAATGTGATTTTTTTTGTAATTTGTGCGTTTTTTCAATGAAAAACTTTTTATATAGTACGATTTTATAAGCAAATTTTCAACTATCGAAAATAATGAGTAGAATACTAATCGGTCGATGATATTCAGTAATACAGTGTGGTTAAATGGATGGCTGATCACTTGATCTAGTTATTGACATAATCCCACAAATGATTTGAAATAAAGCATAGAACCCTTAATCGGGAAAATGAATATTATGTGATCAAATGACATAATATAACATGATGAAATATCATGGATAATAGAAGGGAATCAGTCTTGAAAAATCACTGACTTTCTAATCAATTAAGACTTGAGTTTTGAATTTAATTATCAGGAAGAGACGAAATATAACTCGGTAATTTTATAAAATTTGTTAGTTAAATCGTTTTGATCTACTGATTTTATGAGTAAATTATCGGTTAGCTGACAGTTCAACGCATTTAAATCGTTTTTTTTTACTGGACGACAATTTAAAATGAAAAAAATGTTTTATCAGAAGGGGTTTTGTGGAGATTTCAGAAATTTCACTGATTGAAATCATGAGCCAATTGAAGCTAGACCACCATGGAAAACCTGGAAGCACTGCAAGGCCGTTCCGTCCTATTGTGGGGACTCCTCAGCAGTGCACATCCATGACCCCTCGCGAGACTCGAACCCAGGACATATCGGTCTCGCGACAGGCGCTTAACCAACTAGACCACTGAGCCGGCATCCAACGGTGTTAATGTCTAACTTCAACCAATCCACGAAGTTGCGCCACCGTACACCATTGTCTTCAGTGAGATGATATCTCACAACAGACGTGGTTGAATTCCACTGGTAACGGCTCCTCACTAGGACTCCAGGAGTATCTCTTGAAGTCAGTCACTAGTGAGCAGATATTATTATTTTTTAGATGTCATTTTAATTAGTAGTTTGTTTACAAATAAATCTTTATCTCACAGTCATGTCTCTTTATTACTTTCTAGTCTTGTTCCTTTGAACACATGGCAAACAGCTATAACTAACAACCAGATTAGTAGTAGTGTAGTGAACACAAAACGGGTGGGTACAATCTAATCATATTTAGCAAAAAATTACAGTTTCTTGGTAAAATAGTAAAACCATACTATAATACTTAGTTTGAAAAATGTTCATTAATTGTCTCGAACTTCGTTGTTCTTGCATTTCCATACTAATTGCCTTTTATTCCCGCTCTTCCTTTCTTGATCTTACCCATCTTCTTCTGCGAGACACTGCATTATTGACTCGCGTCATATACTACTTATATCAACATAAGTAGCATGCACCACAGTAGTAGTAATATACATTTTTATCAAGAAGTGACGTTAATAATTATTGTTCAACACAACGTAGCTGAGATATTTTGATTGGATTCATTTCCCTTTTTAATTTTTTTCATTCATACCTTTTCTTTTTAACCATAGAAATGAAATGAAAGAATTTAACGCTAATAAACAAATAAAGCGTTTAAAAGAAGAACTTGACATTTCTAAACTTCAAACGGAACAAATGAGACAAGTATGAATTTATTTCCATTAAAATTTATTGTTTTAATGGTTTGTTTTTATTAGTAGCAAAAGTCGGGATTGCTGTGTTAAATTATGTACAGATTAGCTTAGACACTAATTTTTTTTAAATAATGACAACAACCTACTAATAAATTTAAAGTAATTAGGTGAAAAGTTTTTTGTTGTAATACGGCTTTATTGATCATTGATGTTATTTGGGAATGCTACAACACAGCCATTAATTACTGACATATTAAATTATTTTGCTTTAGCACAAAAATGTTAATGAGATATGCTGTGATCTTTGTACATCCATATATACACTAAATCAAGATATTAAAAATACCTTAATTATGAGTACGCTTCCAGTATAACAGAATAATGACATCGCCTTAATCAATAACATAAATGACCGTGAGGAATGACCACAAAAGTTGTAAATCCTATTGGTTTGATGACCCTATTCTATCTGCAATAGCTAGTCAAAAAAACAAATACAACAAGTTAATAAACCTTTGATTATTTTAGTGTAAAACTCACGGGATAACATGTATTAATTACATGACTACACATGAAAAATTAGAAGTCGTAATTCGTACTCAATTAACTTATAAGTAATTTAATAGTTGAATTCATGAATCCATCAAAACTAGACCACCATGGAAAACCTAGAAGCACTGGACGGCCGTCTCGTTTCAGTAAAATGGTATAGTAGACGATGTTTTAATTTAATACCGCTTAGAGTGCTAACCTTACTATGATCTTCTATCATGGTTGTTTTTTATATTGTTAGACTTTTTACCAGTATTGTACCTTGATTCTAACTAGAAGTAGCGTTTCAAACAATTTTACAACATAGTATTTCTCTTTAACTTTTTTAGAGATCTAACGCATCTATGGACCAATAGGTAGCAATTATTACTACGTTGTTAAGTCCATAGTAATAGTTAGATTCTACTAGACAAATAAAAAAAATGTAAACATTAAGTTAAATGACTTGTCTATCCATGTATTTTGACTGAATGTCAAGATTCCTGGGGCCAAACTATAAACTTAGTTTACAAAGTGCAAATGAATTTGTAAATCAAGCAGATTAATTAACGTATTTGGTTCAGTATGATAGAAATGATTCATGTCTCAAATAATTTAGAAGTGACATTGGTAAATTTAACTCAGAATGCCTTAAATTCAACTTCAATATGTTTTGTTGATGTTTCAACAAACAAGAAACTTAATTCTCCTGATATTCTTTATCAATATTGTCAAACCTTGAAAAAGATATAAATATTCTCACTGGAATAATCAGATAAATTTGTATCAATAAAACAAAAAAAAGAACAACTGATTTTGGATAATCCATAATAAAATGAACTAAATCCCGTTTGTAAAACTAAATGATGACTAACTTTTCATTTATTCTTGTTAATCTCTAAGTTTAGTGAGCAGTGGTATGTTTATATTTATGGGTTTGTTATTATTTTAGATGTTTCTCGTGTTGTAAATGTAACTTAATGTACCGTTGTAATGATTGTCGTTATTCTTTTAATGTCGTTTAAGATTTGTGAAACTAAAAGATATTGTTTGTTGATCGTGATTTATTTGACAAGGTAGGATTCATTAGTATTTCATTCTTTATTTTCCTTGAAAAAGCTTGGACCAGATTGCCAGACGAAACGTTGAATTTACTTCAAATTCTTTCGTTGAAATTTTACAAATTTCATTCTTTAGGTTTAAAACTAAATTTATAATATATGTTCTATGAAAATAACGTAATGACTTTTATAAGCATCATAAGTTACTGATGAAAAACGTATTAAATAACATTCATTCATCTGTCGAACTTTATTACTGAATAACAAATGTACTTACTAACTTACTTACGCCTGTTACTCTTAATGGAGCATAGGCCGCCGACCAGCATTCTCCAACCCACTATGTCCTGGGCCTTCTTTTCTAATTCCATCCAATTCTTGTTCATTTTTCTCATGTCTATCTCCATTTCCCGGCGTAATGTGTTCTTTGGTCCTCCTCTTTTCCCTTGACCTTCAGGATTCCATGTGAGGGCTTGTCTTGTGACGCAGTTGGGTGTTTTCCTCAATGTGTGTCCTATCCACTTCCAGCGCTTCTTCCTAATTTCTTCCTCCGCTGGGATCTGGTTTGTTCTTTCCCACAGTTGGTTGTTGCTAATAGTGTCCGGCCAATCGATCTGAAGTATCTTGCGTAGACAACTGTTAATAAACACCTGTATCTTCTGGATGATGGCTTTCGTAGTTCTCCAGGTTTCTGCCCCATATAGTAGAGCTGTCTTGACATTTGTATTGAAAATCCTGACCTTGGTATTGGTTGACAGTCGTTTTGAATTCCAGATGTTCTTCAATTGTAAATATGCTGCTCTTGCTTCACCGATCCGCGCTTTCATATCTGCATCAGATCCACCCTGTTCATCGATGATGCTGCTCAAATATGTAAAGGTTTTTACATCTTCCAAATCTTCTCCGTCAATTGTGATTGGATTAGTGCATACTGTGTTGTATCGGAGAATCTTGCTTTTCCCTTTGTGTATGTTGAGACCTACTGCAGCTGAGGCTGCTGCTATACTGGTCGTTTTCTCCTGCATTCGTTGTTGTGATTGCGATAGGAGGGCCAGATCATCTGCGAAGTCTAGATCGTCCAGCTGCATCCTAGATGTCCACTGTATCCCGCGTTCCCCTTCAGATGTCGACGTCTTCATGGTTTAGTCGATCACCAGGAGAAAGAGGGAGGGTGAGAGTAAGCAACCTTACCTGACACCGGTCTTTACCTCGAACGAGTTTGTCAACTGTCCTCTATGCACAATTTTGCAGTTTAATCTATCATGGGAATTCCGTATGATATTGACTATCTTCTGAGGCACGCCGAAGTATCGAAGACTAACAAATGTGTTCCGTATTATATCAACTGTTCAAGCTACTTTTATTTCTTAATAGTAGTCACTGAATATAACTTTAATTAATTTATGAAACAGATAAAAATGTTGAAAATCATTTTTCATATTGAGTGTGAAGTTTTCTATCAACAAATATACATCAATGGTATTCCGATAAAGAGGATATATAGGGGTTGATACCTACTCACTATCATTAGTGTAAAAGTAAATTTAAGTCATAATCACAATAGTTGAGAGATTTAGGATTAACAGTTGTAGATCTGTTATGAAGAATACGAGTATGAAATTTGATTATATAATTAAGTAATCATAAAATAATTTTATAAGAAGTTAATATCTGTAACATTCAATAAACTTTTGGAATTCAGATTTCATTTTACTTCAATCTCTTATAAACTTCGTGGATACAAGTGACTATTGAAATGAAAAATTATAGCATAAAAATAAGAATTTTAATTTAAAGAACAGATGGATTTTGACTAGCTAAGCGATTTAAAACTCGTGTTTACTTCTATTTAGGTTTCTTCAGCTCGATAGTCCTGAATCCCGGTGTTGATTTTCACATTTGAACTCAAACCCAATATCTTTGATATTAAACGCCAACGTGTTATATACTGAACTAGTGAGTTCAGATGACCAGTTAACAATTCGCACAAGATGCATATATGCAAACAAAAACTGATCTAAATTCAATCCTGAATATCAGCATTATATCCTTGATCTGTCTAGCCACTTTTATACAGAGGATAACTTGTCTAATCTAGATTAAGATCCTGACACGATAGACTGACTGGCTTAACCTTTAGACTAGTATGCCTGAGTTCTAAGTGAGATCAACTGCTTGGAGTAGAGGGACGAAAACTATTTTATCACCTGATTAGCTGACAAGTACGCGAGTACGAGAAAACTAGTCAACTACAACACCACATGATTTATTCTCAGTTCCGACCTGGTTTCCGATTTCAGATTAGTGTAAAAAGATACATGAATAAATAGATGACTAACCAGACCACGACGCACAACAGTTAAGAAAAATACAATAGTTTTGGAACAAAAACGGACTATGTCATTAAATCATACATCAAACGAAAGCTTATGATCTGTAGAATACACTAGGAACAAAAATGAATATTACTGTTCTACAAGCTTTGAATTAAATAAAATAACGTCCTGAAAAAAATAGCTTCTTGTTTCTCTGTTCACATCAATTAATCAAGGTGTAATCAATACCTTTTCATCACTGATGTCTTAAATGCTTATTCGTATAAAGTCTTTAGGTGGTATATATTGACAAAATTTGTTCAATACTTAGTTACTTTTATTAGTTTTAATGGAATTGTATTTCTTTTTTCTTTACTAACAAAACATCTTCAAATGATTAAAATAGATCTCATGAAATTGTTTATTTATTTGAAGGATTTTGAAGCCTATAAAATTTATACAAAAGAACTATTGGATAATGAAAGAAGATTAAACAAGGAACTTCGAAAGTCGTACCATTGAGAGTGGCAGGAATGATAAGAGGAAATGATAATATTATCTTTGAAAAAGATTATTTCTTCAAACAGATTGCAGTAACCTATTCATATCATCTCTAATAAATCAATAAATCAAATTGATTCCGTTTTTTGTTTATTTTGTAGCAGACAAAATGTAAACAATTCCGTGAAACATCACAAACAAATTTAGAAATGGTATCATTTAAAAGATAAGGTATACAAATATGGATTCTCAATAAATTTTGGTCCATTTTAGTGTTGAATAGAAGGATAATATGTTTACAAGACGTTTTGCAATATGGCACTTTTCTTAGTGATTTAAAACATGTGTCTTGATTAAGAGTGCATAGGCTATATCGAGTCAGTCAGTCAGTCAGCAACAATGTGGAACTTCGTACGTACGTACATCAGTTCAAGTTTCCATACCACATTAGCTCAGAGATACAATCGCTGACCCAAATCCCATAGTGGTAGAGGTAGTAAAAGTATAAGCAGTAATCGGAAACATTAGGGTTTGAATATGTTATTCAAGGAGTACAATCCAGCGAAATAAATTTGGAAAGAGAAAACTAGGACACGAAGAATTCAGAAGATTAGAATTTGGGAGAACACAAAGAGTGGATACACCTGCGCCATTGCAAATGATTTTGAGCCATACCACTCAAGGTATTTAGCCATCGGTTGCTATCATCTCGCGGTCCCCAACCAGGTAGTCTACACCTACCAACATGGCTCAGTCCACTTGTCAGTGACTTCATGAACTTGTGCCATGTTTTGGTCTGGCCGCACCTAGCTTTCTTCCAATCTACTCCTATACCATCGAACATCGCACGTCGAGGCAGTCGGTAGTTAGGCATACGTAACACGTGTTCCAGCCATCTCAACTGATGAAGTTTCACCACTTCATCAATTGATTCATCATCCTTACATAGTACCCGTTTCCTAACAACTGCATTACTTACTCAGTGGTCCCAGGATATACGAGCAATATTTCGAAGACACCTATGATCGAATACTAGTTACCGTTGTATAACATTTAGCTGAATTCATAGAAGCATGTTAGCTCTTTTGAAAATACAAAGACACATTTATATTGATAAAGTCAGAAGCTTGTTTTACCTCCAGAAAGAAAATTTGAACTTATTAAGGCCTGTGTTATGAAAGCTGTTGTGTTGTCAAGTTTGATTGTTGACTTATTTTCCTACATTACCCTGTAGCATCAGGACCTCTTTATCCGATAACAAAGCAAACTCTTAGTCAATAAATCAGTGACCGTGAATTACGACTGGAGAATCTAAATGCTTACTGGCCTACTAGCTCCCTACAATCAGAGGATGCAGATAACAAAGAGATTTCCTTCCTATTATGTTCTATTCTTTCATGACTCAAAATTCATACAATTACATGCCTCGAATACACGTAGGTAAATAGCACAAATAAGGAATTACAATATATACATAACTCAGTCATTATTGGTACAAAAATAGAACAATAGAGAAATATAACATTGATTTGTAAGTCAGATGGAAGCTTACAAATAGGCAAACATAAAAATAAACTGATTCAATCACTTAATAATTATACATTAAAAGTATAAATGATAATTATCTACAGAATAATCCTAAACGCTCGACCTATTTGAAATCCTCGATATGACACATACAAGTAGGTTTTTCTTTGTGAGACATGTCAGTATGTTATGTGAGGATACAACAACATTCACACACACACTATAAATGTTTAACATGGAATAAAAGTGGAGTATTAATAAGAAGTAGGTTAATTAAAAAGATATTTTAAATCATTGGTTAAGTGGAAGTTAATTTCTTGTAGATTAGTATATTTATAATCGAACGGATCAACTTAAAACATTCAAATATCATTACAGTGCATGTTGATGTTCGTTTAGAATGTATGTAAAGAATATCACTTTCGTTAAACTATAATCTAATTCAGTTATTTTTCAGGTTTTAGAGCCATGATATTTCTATGGCACATATTGATATTATAGCGTCGGTTGCTATGTTAAGCCCGCATAACTTGTTCTAGTTTCTGGACAAACTAATTTATTCATTTTTCTCAAGCTACATCTTGACCTTGTCAATTATTCGCTTATCAACCTTGACTGTTCTTATGTGTGTGCATTTCTTTTCTTACTCATCACATTTCTGTAACTTATATTTGTGTGGCTATCAATATTGATTAGCGCTTGATTAACTCGAGTTGGCACACACGCCTTCTGGATTGTATGTCATTTCGCTTCGTTTCTTCGATCGTTTGTCTAAATCAATGATTGTATGAAATACACGTATTTGAAGTTCATTCTCGTATTTGACTTATTTATTTCCATTATTGGTCGACGGTTACATACGATGATTGGCGATACATATATTTCGATAACATCTTATCCAATCAGCATTCAATATAAGTTTTGCCAGGAACATCTACAAAATGAAGTCGCGTGTCACGTTTCTGAGTGGATGATTACCTATACTGCTACTAAGGTCATCTAAAATACTAAATATACCCTAGAATTTCTGTACATAAACGAACCTTGGGGTAAAGCATTTCTTCCATGTTTCACGCCCTTTTTTTCTCTCGTTCAAGTCGCTGTCTAGATTTAGCCTGGATTTTACTAGATAAGCTTTGGAACCGAATCTAGCATTCAATTAGTGCCTGAGACAGTTTCTAATGACGGTAACCCATCTGCACTAAGAATTAATAACATCAATAATTTAATGGATGGATAAGACTGTTTGAGGAAACTAAGTGTCACACATTTCAAGATGGAATCACTTATGCCATCTTCGACGGCTTGTGATGCCAGGAAGGAACTTCGTGTTCAATTTAAATAAAGTCACAAATTTCTTAGATCTAAAAGATGTTCCTAAAACAACAAACATCAATTTATCATTAGTGAAGTAACTAAGTGTATAATTTTTAGATTTAGTGTCACTGTGTGCAACATATCTAATAAAACCTTACTAAAAGCGGCTAGGAATTCTGTTTGGCGAGTAGCTGATCTTCTAGAGAGCTCTGTTTAATGTATTCACTTGAATAAAAATTGTCAACGGTTTTCCTATCCTACATTTTTTCTCCTATTCCTACTTACTTGTCGAAGAACTGAAAAGGTCTAAATCATTAATTGATGCCTCCGCTAATTTCATAAATGTCTTTATCGTTAGAGATATAACTGTAAACGAAAGATATATGAAAACTGTTGAGATACGTACAGACTTTCACTAATTATGCAATTTCCGCACTGTCACCTGTTTATCTTAATAGTCTTTTGTAGCAAGACCTCCTGTTAATCCAAGTTATCACTTATCATAGAAAGCTGTTAGTATAATACCAACTCTACACAGTGTAGATCCAAATCTGACGACTAGTGTGTTTCTGACATATTTTACGGTTTCCGATAATATGCCCCTTCAAAAAAACAAAAAACAAACGTAAACATATAATTTAGCTGTTCATTATCCATTTAAATTATTCTAATAAGTCAGTAGGGTAGGTAGCCGATATCGGGACTATAAAAATCTAGCCTGAAACATCCGATAAACCCTGACAAGTATGTGGGGTCGAAATAACTTCTTTTGGTGAATTTTCGGTAATTTTTCATCAAGCTTTACAACTTTCAAAACATTTAAATAATCATTATCTGAGTGAACATTTCTTTTTGTAAACGTGATTACATATATACCGAAGTTTTCTATCCTAATTCTTAGTTTTCAATGGTAATTGAATTCATTTAGTCAAATTCCTTGTTTAAACTAGTGTTACATTGGGAAGGAATTGATGGAAAAGTATAGCCATTGTTTGTTTTCTTCTTAAACTTTATTTCGATCAGTGTTTATTCCTTGTCCAACTGATAAGTAACTCATAGTCACACTATTTTCACTGGAAATTGTTTAAAAATAAAATAACAGTTTTAATTATATATATATATATATATATATATATATATATATATATATATATATATATATATATATATATATATATATATACCCACTTGATTAGTTCATCCTTCCATCTCCGAAAGTCTCTTCCATTTGGGACTGGCGAAATCAGTTTTAAGAGCGAATCAGTAGTTAAATTAGTCCAGTCAAATTTTAAAAAAAATAATCAAATTAACCAAACTAACATAACAATTAGTAGGCCAATGGAACTACATTTCGTTTTTACTAATACGTATCAATGTGACTTGATTTCAGGAAATAAACCATAGTTCTTATTAATATTATATGTTGAGTTAAATAAGAGAGTAGTTTTTATTAATCTAACAAAACTTAACTATTTTAAATAAATTTATCAAACAGAATGTCTTTTTAATAGAACAAATATCCCTATTGTATTTGTCAAACAAGTTAATTCATTGATAATTTATTCTATACCTAAATGATGATGATGATGATTACAGGAAGTAAATTAATGCAAGTATACTATCGAAAAGATTTGTAGAGAATTCAAAGTAACCTTTCCGAATTCTGTGATGTTATAAAGTAAACTAAAAAGAATCTTGTATCTAAGCAACAGTTACATCCTGGAGATTGTTTAAAGTAGGATACCTCGTGCGCCACTTCATATATATATATATATGAGTTAAAGATGGAAACTTTATTCTTCTAACACCAACTTCCAATTATCATGGATATTGGAAATTCAACTAAGAGAAATCAACAAAAGGTCAGGCTACATCAACTGCTTAAGTCCACTAAAGGATTAACTCGTTCCGAATTTGATGAATTTAGTAGACAAATGTGTGAAAGAAGCCTTTATCGACTGAAACCACTTCCCGGAAGGGAATTTAATTTTAAGCTTTGCAAAGTTATCATCTGTCAGGTAAGAATTTATTAACTGTTTTCCTAAACATAAAAGTATTAAAGAATTCTAGTTAAGTGTTGGAAATGTTTAATTTATGTGAGTATTTTGTGTACGGCATAACTAGTCAAGGAAACTTTAAAAATATATATCTTTGAATATGCAGTGGAATAAAATTGTGTGTCACAGACTATTCATTTGATAAGTTTTAACTCAATATGTTAGTGGTTGGAGGTAGTTGAGATGAATTTCTACCACAGGTCAGTTGTGGTCCGGATAGCTTAATGGTAACACCTCATACTGTGAAACTGAATCACTTGGCAGTGAATTTGTCGGGGATAATTAGTCTCTGTCAAGACTAAAGGTACGTCTAATTGATGAGTGCCAAGTAGAATGGAACATAGACTTAGGGTTTTCTGCTGACCATCTAATATAGAACCAGTACATGCACTATTGAGTCACACACGTTAGCAGCCATATTGGGAACGTGTTTGATAGAATTCGACTAGTACTATGGGGCTAAACAAAAATGACATAGATCACCATACAGTGATTAATTAACGGTAAGTGTTGCTTTGCCTGATAAGGTAAATACCTAGTAATTTAATATTCATACAGATTCTGAGTAATAAAAATAGAGATACTAGGTTAAAATTAAACACTTGCCTTAGAACTTTATACATACTGATGATAAATAAATGCAAAATAAGATATTTTGTTACAAATCTATAAGAATAGAAAGTAGGTTTCGTCCACTATTGAGCATTCTATATCCTAGTCTGTTTCGATGTGCTCATCTTAACATTTAGTGTTTCATGTAATATGGGGCTTTGCATGAAGGTACCTAGTTACTAAAACATTTAAGTCAGCGGATATTGTTAGTGATAAAAAGCTGAATTTGAAATAATTTAATATTGTTAGAATGGGGATTTGCGGAGACTGTAGCACTTCCAACAGTTGAGTTCATGAATCCATTTAAGCCAAACCAAAATTGAATATCTGAAAGCACTGGACAACCGTCTCATCCTAGTATGGGACCAATTAACAGTGAGCATCCATCATCCCGCACTCATGATTCGAACCCCGGACCTTCGGCCTCACGTGCGAACACATAACCTCTAGACCACTGAGCTGGGATGCAACAGTGTTAACGTCTAACTGCTGAGAAGTCCCATACTAGGATAAAACGACCACCAGGTTTCAAAGGTGATTTAGCTTAGATCGAATCTATGTTTTTATTAACTAAGTCTTCTATTGTTGATAAAAGATGTCATTAAATAAATTAGGACTGGTACTTTGAGATTTAATAAAGGAACCACAGTTTCTTATACTTTTGTCTAGGACATAAAAATCTATTCATAATCTATATTTCTAAATATTATGTTTTACGAGACTAATTTCCATGCTAGTATTTCATTCATGTCACTTGTTTATTACAGCAGTAGAAATACTGTTTCATTACAAAAGTTTGTAATTGTACACCATTTGTTTAGCATCACTAACTACAGGTTAGTTAGAACTAAAGGGAAGTTTAGAAACTATTGGTTATTAATTTATACTCCACAAATGAAATAATAGCCTATTCCGATGCAACCTATTTGAACAATGTTTATTGCCTAATAAGTGGTAAATTTGAATGTCGTGAGTATATATTCCCAACACAATCTGAATTATGTCTATGGGATACTTATTCAGAACAGTGTACACACGATAAAATTGTTTTTACACCACTGATTAGATACATATTTACATTTCACCCATAAGGTACTTGAACAATTTATGTCAAACTACAAAGGTGATAAAAATAATCACGTGAGAAGTAGACAAGAATCACAATCGAACGAGTTTTTATGTAATTTAACCAATCGACTACGTCAAATGACTGTAATACATCTGAAAGCGTTTGATATTAAAAATGGAGGCCGATATAAACTAATTGTTTATGTAATACAAACAAATTATCCAGAAGGAAAATCATCATTATCTAGCACAATGATAGCAAGTTGTGGATTATTTAATATAGAAACAGACTATTATCTATCTGAAACCATAAGAACTATTTTTGGTCATTTAATTGTAATTGTTTACGCCTGTTATCATGAATAATACATTTAATGACTTCGTATTAATGAATAAATTTGTTAATATTTTCAATTAAAAACCGAGGGCAAATCGAAATAACAAAGCTAACAGATTTAATTTAAGTACAAGTCAAGCTTGGTCGGTGGGACTGTAATTTATAGATGTTCCTCGAGCGAGGCCAGTGACCTTGAGAATACCCGCCTACTAACTATGACCAAATGAGTGTTATAAACATGAGTGAGGAATTAGAATTAGGAATCACAGTTGATGGTTTTCATCACGAACTGACATCAGCTATAATGCCAAAATTATATTTAGCCAAGTGGATGAATAAATCTCGCGCCAAAATCCAAGAGGTGTTATCCTAAATCTGATTGGTTCATTCATAAATTATAGTCTCGCCGATTGATCGTTTAAAAAAAGTACTACATTATAGTGAAGTATTAATGAAAAACAAAACATTTCATGACTTTCATATGATTGAACAATGAATAAAGTCTAAAATAAACTACTAGATAGTAAGTCATATAGATTTATAAAACACTGTAAATATCACGTTTTAGTTCCTAGTTGATGTGCACTACTTCACTTTTGATAGATTTGGTAACTTACTAAAACTTAAGAAGTGTGATTGCCGAATAAATTAAACAGTTTGTGACTGATGAACATTAACTGAACTTGATGTTAATAAGTCATCATAAGTAAATCAGTGGTTGGTTTTATAATGATTACATATTTTAGATTACTCCATACAACAGAAATTTGTTATCCTGAGACGAACCCTTGAACAAAATTGTAAACTAAGCCAAAAATTCAAGAATGATAATTAAAATAAATACAGAAGGTTGCAACTTTTACGCAAAACTTGTAGATCAACTCGATGCTTCCGCTACATGGCTCACTACATACGAATGATGATATTAAAACTTGTAATTTTTATTCACCTGCCATGAGTTGCTCGTTAAGTAATGGATAAATACGATATGCACTAAGCATGAACCAATACTTATGTGAATTAATGATTATCAAACGGAATTCCTTGGAAAATAAATTTATTCAAAAGCATTTGACGCATATACTGATCGATCGTTTAACCTCGTTTGATTTAGTTAAAATTCGAATGACAATTTCAATACAGAATTCAGGGTTTTGGGAAATGTTGCGTAATTTCAAGTTTGTTCGGTAGTCGGCAAGTCAGCGTTAGATATGCCTTGTCTAACACTATAAGTAATCTATTCTGAAGGCAAACGACTTTTCGCCCTCTTGTTAGTTCAATACTCAACAATTACTTAAGGAATTGCTGAATTGTTTCAGAATTTAATAATAAATTATCAGTAAAATCTGTAACAATACATTCATATTCAAGTTACTTGTCAGTAGATTTTGTTTTCCATCGTCTCATATAACACACAGGACATAATGTTAATAAACTATGTGAAATATACCGGATTGTATATTGCATAAACGGAATCATGCCAATAATTATGAAGAGTAACAGTTGATGAATTACTTATCATTGTTACAAAGATTAACTCGGACACATCTTTCCAATGGAAATAGACTTTAATTTTCCATTAGCGTTGTTAGCTGAATAGTCAAGATTTTATGTTTCACAGAACTTGGTAAAATTTATTTTCGATATGACTGTTCAGCCGATCAACGAAGTACGCCTTGAACGATGGGCAGAGTTTTTGAGTGGCAGTCCAACTGATCTGCTTCCCCAACAATATCGATCAGACTGTCTAGTCCTGCATGGCCCCTGACGACTTATTCACCAAACAAGGCGGAAGTCCGCAAGGAACACCAACTCTTAGAGCGCTACGAATCATCAGGCCAAGGTGACTTACTTCCGGTCCTTTTTGAGGATAGTGGTGGCTTTCTGGTTAAGGAACTGGCTGAGTTGTTTGCAAAGGTCTGACAATTAGAGTGTTCTAACATCACGGAATGAGTCGATAGTTGTCCCTATATTTAAAAAGGGTTCACATCGCCTATGCAACAACTGTCGAGAGGTAAGTCTACTTTCGATTGCGTTCAAACTATTGGCTTCCATCATACTTCATAAATTTTCCAAAACCGGAGGAAGATTGTCTCGCGAGGTGCAGGCTGATTTTCATTCTGGTCGAGGATGTATTGATCATATGTTCACTCTCCAGCAAATGTTAGAACACCGTCATACTTATCACAGGCCAACAATCGTAGTGCTTCTTGACATCAGGGCTGCTTTCCATTTGTTGGACAGGGCTGTTCTCTGGGATTGTCTATTAAAGAAGGGTGTGCCTGAGAAATTTAATAACATCCTAAAAGCCCTATATACGAACATCTCAGGTAGAGTGAGGACATACAACCACCTTTCTCCATTGTTCCATTCACGAAGTGGGATCAGACAGAGCTGCCAAATTTCACCATTCCTCTTCAACTTTGCCATCGATGACATTCTGGAAACAGCTCTGATAGATGTAAGTAATGGCGGTGTGGATCTGCTGCCTGAAGAAAGACTTCTCGACCTTGAGTATGCGGATGATATTGTCTTACTGTGCGATAATGCCCGAGCCATGAAATCCGCACATAATCAGTTGGCAATTAGTGTCCGTAGGTATGGTATATGCTTTGCACCTTCAAAGTACTTTTACAAGACTGGCAGGCCCCTGATCCTGGACTCACCCTGGGTAGTGAGCAGACATCCAGTAACATCACCATGTTAGTAATGCAGAGATTCGTTATCGTGTGTTCGGGCGCAGAGACGATAATCCACTTGGTATCACCATCTTGAAGCATCGACTTCGGTGGCTTAGACATGTTCTACGAATGTCTTCCCAGAGAATTCCACGTCGTGCATTATTTGCCCACTCTGGGAATAGTTGGAAAAAGCGGATAGGTGGTCAGTGTATGACATGGTGTCGTGGCATGAAAAAAAGCTGTACAGGCCTGGCTTGTGTTGGTCCTTCACTACTACTTGATTGAGATGCTAGAGATGGTGCAACACAGTGGCTAGAGACGTTATCAGATATGGCTCAGAATAGAAGCCAGTGGCGATCCTGCTGTAACCTTTTCTTTCTTCATAAAAAGTGACCGTAACTTCTTTAACTGAAAGAATTCTTTCTGGTTGTATCTTTCTGTTTCCCCCATTATTATTACTATTATTTCAGTACCACCCACTAATCTGTGGTCGTTATTGTTCTTTTTTCTTCTCTCTTATACGCACCTTACATTCTTTATCTCTTCCCATTCTCATTATTATTGTGTGGCGCATATGAATCTGGTGCCCCCTTGTACCTATATCAGATATGACTCAGAATAGGAGCCAGTGGCGATCAAGCTGTAACTTACTTCATAAAAAGTGACCGTAACTTCTTTAACTGAAAGAATTCTTTATGGTTATATTCTTGCTAAATGAACTGTTTCTCCCATTAATATTTCACTCCCATACACTAATTTCTGTTCGTTGTTCTCCTTTTTCTTGTACGCACTTTACATTCTCTATCACTTGACAACATTATTGTTATTGTGTGACGCATATGTATTTGGTGCATCCTTGTACTAATGTATGTGTATACGAATAAAATAAGACAAAAGACAAATAATATTGTATTTAGTGACCATAGACGAAAGTTCGACTCAAAGTAAAAGGTTAATAAAAAACAGCATACAATATGCAAATTAGTTACGGTAAATAAAACACTAATGTTCTACAGCATTAGCTCTCATGACTGCTATAAAGTTAAGGCCCCCAAATGCCCTGGTACGGCAGAGAGTGGAGTGAGTCCGCTCTCCCTCTCGAAATGCTCTCACATGGCCACGCGTATATAGCCTCTAACAGGGAAGTCCTACTCACCACCTTCTCGTGGCGGGGGTGTTGTTTACGAAATTGATAAAACGAAAAGCGAATGTCCGGCGCTTTAACCGGGTTGGTGGATATGGAGAGTCCACCTAGAGGAGTTGGAAAACCCTGATTCCAAACCAATGTTGCACATGGGCTCCAATAACCTGAAGGAACAAATGGCGTATGAACCAATCGTTGGACACCGGCTACCACAGGAATGCATTTCCTTACGATGTTCCACTGCCTTGTGAATCAGACCTTCAGGTCGAAGGCTCCGGGTGTGGCCCTCTAATAAAACCACCTGCTTCTGTTTGGGCACCCAGGCAGTATCATAGCCCTCACAAATATCAAATGAGATTTGTGTGGCGCATATGTATTTGGTGCCTCCTCGTACCAATATCTATGTGTTAAAATAGACAAATCAATAAATAAATAATACATAAAAGCTAATACCGTAAATCATTTAGTTGAAAAAATTTAATGCTTAAGTTTTTGATAATTATCTAATGAGTTGACAAGACTTTACAATAATTATCAGCTTATTATATAATGTTATTGAAAGCAAACAATGGAAAGAATGTGTCAATAAATTCGTGATAATTGATCACACTTTGCTTTTACTAAATTAATAGATTGAGAAAGAAACAGTTGACGAAGAACAAATGCATTTATAATTGGTGTTCTCCATCTTATTTATTCATCGATTTTCATAGCACTGAATGCATAATTTAGTGATAAATTACTACTCCAACGCCATCGACGACTTAATGGGTTATATAACATTCCACTGAGTTGACGCGGTTGCAAACCACCTAAAGAAGTAAACAAAAAAGCAACTAGAAAGTAAGGTTAGAGTTAAAAAGTTTATATACAGCTAAGATCGGTTTGTAATTTCAAATATGAAAATACTACAACCTCCATAAATCCCCCATACCAATATAATCATAAGTTAACTAGTGACTAACTGCAAGATATAACTTCTGGAGTTCTATTGAGAATCCGTGACAAGTGGAGTTTAATCCGTGTTGGGTGAGAAAGTTATCGACCACAAGCAATGGATGAAGGTTTGTGCAAGATTGTGGATTGATTGAAATTATACATCAACACCGTAGAATAATGCCTCAGTGGTTTAGAGTTTAAGCATTCGTGCGTTAGACCGAAGATTCTGTGCCCGATCTCCACAAACTCTTATGCTAATATACATTAGTGTTTGACTACTTAAAAGATTACATTATCCTCAACCTAAAATGGTTATTACCATGATGGTTAATTTTATTCTTATAAATATTGTTATTACAATGACTATTATTCCGTATCATGGTAATCAAGACAATCAAATAACTGAAAAGAAAACATAAATAAAATGGAATAAAATAAAATCCACTATTAGAACTTACGCTTGATACAAGCAATCTGTAACCGACTAGGTTCAATGAATTTATTCCAATCATGAGTACCACGTGGAACAATACGAGCTACATATTCAGCTACACCAATTCCTAGTAGTAATGAAGCGGTAGTACGATTTATTGTAGTTACGAATAACATTCCTTCTAACTAAGAAAGAGATTATAAATAACATCAATTAAATAACAGAATTTAATTGAAAAACACAAAAACAAAAACATCAACAAAATAATTCGAAAATGTACAGAGAGCAATGTTTATTGACAGTTTAGTATTGAGAGTTAAAATACAATCTGATATGGTGAGTAGTGAATAAATCGATTACAGTGGGAATGGCATATAAACTTAATATTTTTTCCCAACTGTCTATGACATATAATCACATTCTGAGAAGGGGCAATTATAAGACTTAGTCAATTAGTTCGATCTGTTGGTTATAGACCCCTAATTGTACGGTAATGTAAAGAATTGGTCACGTAGTAAGTTAGTGATTAATTGATATTAATTACTACTCAGTTCCAAATTGCACAAATCTGACTGTTAATAAATCACATAAAAAGTGGTGTATTCACACATTATTTTGATTTATTTCCGGGTTCAAATAGATATATATTGCTAGCCTTTGTATGTTCACCATACATCATCAGATTTGAGGGTTTCAGTACCAAGGGACAAGTAAGTTAAGCACATCTAGATATAACAAGTGACAAACACTACACCATCCATCAATTATGTCCAGTTTAATGGATTCAAAGATGAAATATACCGGAAATGTAAGTGTTATACAAGTTGTTAGAGTCCTATGCTACTCTGTAGCCAAACATCCATAGCAAATGAATGTGGGTTGAACGCATAAACTACAAAATTTCAAATTCGTGTGAAACTAATCAGCACGTTTTCAATTCATTCATATTTATTACGACAAGTATTACTGTAGTGGACAGAACACGGGCCGGGACAATAAAATGTATTTAACACAAAATTACAGGACTTGTTAATAAAATCTAACAATCATATAGTAAATGCTTAATTTGCAAAATGTCCACCAATTGTCTCAAAATGAATCAGACTTCATTGTTCTTGCATTTTTATACAAATTGCATCCTGTTTCCATTCTTTACTGTTAGATCCTCTTGTCTCTCTGCTGCCAGACCTTCTGTTCACGACTAACATCATATACTACTTATGTCAATATAAGTAACACACACCACATTATAACTGAAGTAGATTTCAAAATAATTAGGTCGTGTAACTCGACCGTTGTTGCTACCTTAACGTGGTGGTCGGGGTGAACCAATCAAGCTATACTGACTGGAACAATCGTTCATAAAGGTCCTACTATGCCAAACAGGTCGGTTGAAGAGCGGTAAGGCTAAAAGCAGCAAACCCAAGGTCCGAGGACGAAGTCGTACGGCCGACTGCACAAACGTATGACGCCAAACAACTAGTATAACAGCGATGCAGCATTCTCATAAGGAAGGGTGAAGTTAGAAGAGGTCGACCCTAAAAATGCACACCTTGTCCTACGCTATGGATTTCCGTTTTAGACAGTAAGGTCTCAACAAGTACGGAGCTAACACGAAAATTACTCACGCAAAGGTCGTGTGTGATCAACCTCAAGACGTTATCCCTTGAGCATTGCGGTCACGTTCGTAGGTTACTAAGACCAACTCGGACCCCAATCTCCTTTTCAGGTACCTCTGAAAACTCCTTTCACGGTGCGGGAAACCGGAAAGTAATAACCGCCATCATACCTCTAACAGCACTCAAAGGTCGTGTAACTCCGTCAATATTGATTGAAATCTGGAAAAAGATCACTTATACACATTGATGAGTACAAACTTCGGTTTACCAATTTGGTATTTTCATTCTTCATATAAATGTCTATTATGGAATGATTTTGATAAATATTATCAGTATTTTTAGACACGAAAAAAGAAAAGAGAGTATGAGGACAGAGTCACGTATTCTTAAGTTCAGTTACATTGATGGCGATCTTTCACTGGCAAAAGTATTACACTGATTCAGATGAAGTTAATCGGCCATTTGTCTTTGTAGATCTTCAGTCATAAAGCTGAGTAATGCGAGCAAATCTTTATTATATTTGAGGTATTCCAATGAAAATGATTATGATAAATCGTATTCTACAAAGTTTCCAAAACATTTGTGGTGGATTAACTTCGTTAATCAATCACCTTGATAACCGTTATTATAGAAAACTCGACGGTGTTTGAATTCAGAAGGCAGTAAGAAGCGGCGACTACAGTTTATCAGCGGATAGCACAGATAAAAAAATTACAAACACATCGAGCGAATTGGAGTGGATAGGCTATTGTGTGTGCTAGCGAATACAGAGGCGAATTCACAGTCAAATAGAATCAAGGCGTAGCTATGCAAGGCAATTTAAGCATCAATATACATAGGAAAGAGAATGATTCATCGAGCGATATTCAAGTGATTAACATTTAAGCTAGAGAGATATGTGCGTAGGTTGTTACATGTGATCAAACATACATGCTTATACAGACATGATAGTGATCATAATAATACAAAGAAATAGACGAATTGTTACTGTCTTAATAGCATTGTCTGTTAAGTAAGTTAATAAAAGGGCTTGACAACAATTAACTATAATAGAAATTAATCGTAGGAGTGTTGCTATACTTGGTTTGAGATATCTCATAAACAACACATTACTGGTCTTTGATAAACGTACTAAAAACACACTATCTCGACAACTGTCGTCATTATCAAACAACGAAGCTATCACTTATAGACTTGAAAGCATAGTTCATTTTATATCGAATGGTGAATGAATTTACTGTTTTTTGAAAGCAAAGTTGACAGCAAACAATATTTCTTGACAAAATGTTTGTTGGTTTTTAGTAATCGTAATCAGAATTTGTATGCAGGTAAGGTATGAAATTTTCGAGATCGACTATTTCTGATCTCTTGCTTTCGTTGTGAGAAGGTAGATTCGCTGCAGATGCTGACTTCTGAGGGAAAGATCCTACTGACGCCATAATTCAGTACAATGAGCAGCGCGACTTTGTCCTCGAACCATGAGTTTTCTGCTTCTAGTTTTGACGTTCTCCAACCGGCCTCCCTGAGATGGTAGGAACAACTGTTTCACCTAATATAGCTCGACCGAGTCATTATGATACGTAAGCCCGAACACTACGGTGAAGCTAGCTACGATCGAAGTTACCGAGTATAGTGTTAGTGTATCAAAACGTATTATCTATTAGTAATAAATATATCTCAATGAGCAGAAAATTGTATTTCTGACGTTTTATTACTTAATGTAAGTCACTTCTCCCGAGCATACAAATAACCGATCGTGACTTACGTTAAGCCACGAAACGTCAGAAATACCATTTTTTATTCATTGGGATATTAGAAAAGTATATTTGTTATTTACTTTTTAGCCAATGCTCAATTTATTTGAAAATATCAAGTCCCACCTTGGTATTGGTATCGTCTATTATCATGTGTGTAAATGCAAAACGTTCTTTTTTCAACATTACGACACACTGTTAACATTGTTTGTGAAGAGATTTCTTCGTGAATGCTGTTTCGTTTATTATCGAAGGATTTGAGAGTAAATATGATCTTGATGAACAATGGGAATTAAAGAACTAAAAACTATTATATACATATTCAAGAATAATATCTATGAAATATTTCTTACTTTCAAGCATTGTTTTAAACTGTTCAACATATCCTCCCAATCAGTAACGTGTTCTAATACTTCAGACGCAACAACTGCGTCGAATTGACATGGATACTCTTGACTAATTGATTGCACACTAGTAAGTTTATATGTAGGTTTATGTAAATCTGGATGATCAACCCAGCGATAAGATGTAGCTTCAACATGTTCTTGTGCTACTTTTATACCTTCTGCTACTAAATCTATGCCCAAAACTTCTGCTCCCAACATAGATAGTGCCTAGTAAGGAATTATTCCAAGATAAACAATATGAAAGATTTATTAAAAGAAATATTAATTGAAAAAATTAAGCGATTTAGGAAACTAAAGCTACTTTTATGAAACATCTTAAAAAAGTGATGAGTTTTTTCGACAGAAAGAAATATCATCTAACTGAGTTATCTTCTAAGTAAATAATTAGATAAAATCTCAAATTGCACGATAGGCGAATAATGACTGAACTCTTGAAAGCTAAAAAAATAGGTGGGTAACTGGATAAAATGTAAATAAATCAACTGTATTATAATTATTCGTATGGCAACTTAGTGAATGTATACTATGATGATCGTTCTTGATATTAGGCGGTTGGAGGCAGTCGACAGGAAACCATGGGCCGAAGTTTCGTCCCAGTCGGTACTCTCCAGAAAGGCGTACCTGGAATCAAATACACTAAAACGTTCCGAATCAATTATAAATATCACAGTGATGCAGGAGGTAATTCAAAGTCCTAAAAACGAAGTTGTAACGTTTAAGATTGTGTAGCAGAGAGACATAGGCTCGAATCCCATGGGGAGAATCAGTCTCATTAAGATTGTCAACTAGAACGAAACGTTGATCCAGGGTCTTTCGAAGGTTATCCCCAACCACCTAGTATATAGACAGTGCAAACAGTTTCGAGTCACTTAGACTAGTGGATGTCGTCTTTATATTAACAAAAATAATCTGCCTAAAATATAGTAAGCATTTTTATGAAAGTACAACCCTTTTAGCGTTCTGAATGAAGCTTTTCAAATGTTTGGTGTATGTTTCGTCCTTTAACATTTCAAAAAGCAAATTTATAACTAGTCAGCAAACGTTCACAATATAACCATAAAAATTAAGGGATGATTTTGATGACTAATTTGTCAGCCTGTAAAGTAATGTGTTATTCGAAGAGTTATTAAGTATGTTACATTGTATAACTGCTTTGAAGATGACAATAAATTATCAAGATGATATTGGCAATCAGGTTAAAGTACACAATGTGTTTTAACTCGAAAAGCATTGTTTTCTCAAACGATATGAATCATTGATTGAAGACAGATACCAATGAAATCTGTAACCTAATACATGATATGATCCCATCCATTCATTTGTATTAATTTCTCAATCCTTTCTAATAACCAACTATATCGCGAACTCCTGAGAGAATTTACATTTATGTACAAATCTGTGAATTATAGTGAATGACATGAACCACAGTCAACTTCTGATCTGACCACTTAAAACATTTTTAATTTTATCTTTAGACCGATGGGATTTTGTCGACTTCAAAAATTAGATAACCTGACATTGACTGTGACTAAACGATCAGTCGGTATAAATACCTCAGCTCTCTAAGAGGCCAGTCACGACCCGAATGGCTCAGTAGTAAATTCATAGAATGTGACATTAAGTGACAGGGCACATATTAGATCCCTAAATATTACAAATATGTCCTGAAGACGACCTTCAGCTAGCAGAGAACCAGGATTGATAGCTCCAAAGATGATCACTTTCAGTCAACTTACACTTCATCATGAAACCTTAATAAAACGAAACACAGACTGACGACGTTCAGAGAAAGTTGTTATTATGAGAACATGTTGATCAACCCACCTTGATAATCAACAGTTGATTGATTCTGGTATTATAAGAATGGCTAAATGGGCACTTCTAAATAGTGTACGAGAAAAGTGAACGACTAGATATTTCATAAAGTGAAAACTTCGAATACAGATAAGACATACTTTTATAAATGCAATTTATGCAGATACATTAACGACCGATAAATAAATGCAAACATGATAAGAAATAACTCACTTCCGCTAGAATACCTCCACCACAACCAACATCTAAAATCTTCGTACCTTTCAAAGGTAAACAAACTGAATCAACTGTAGATAATGTAGTTAATGGACAAAGACCATTTTGAATAAATGGTACACGCAAACGATTCATAGTATGCAATGGCTGTAAATCTCCTTTGAAAATAAAATATATAAGTAGAAAGTAGTTTTATCCGTTTACAACAATCATATGTAACTATCACATATTTATACGATACTAGATATAAGTAAATGAACAGTGAAACCAAGATGAATGCAACCTGTCAACAAATGAGATAATATATAAAGAGATGCAATTAAATAACTAGACACGATGTGTAACTAATAAAAGGAATTAGTACATTGTATTGTTTGTAATAATGAGTGCATATTATTTTCTACAATTTAAATTCGACAGAAACTATATTAGGCCCCCAAACGCCCTGGTACGACTGAGGGTTGAGAGAACCAGTTCTCTCTTTCTCTCCAAATGATATCACATGGCAACGAGTATACAGCCACTACCAGGAAAGTCCTGCTAACTGCTTTCTCGAGGCGAGGGGTTTTCTTACGAAATTCAGAAGATGAAAAGCGCATGTCCGGTGCTTCAATTAGGTTAGTGGATATAGAGGATACACCTAAGGGAGTTGGAAAACCCTGACTCCAAACCAATGGTGTATATACGTTCCAAGATCCTGGGGGAACAAATGGTGTATGAACCTATTATCGGTCATCGGCTACCATGAAACTGCATCTCCTAACGTTGCTCCACTGCCTTGTGGATTAGACCTCTAGGTTAAAGTCTCAGGAAGCAATCTACTAAGAAAACCACCCGCTTCACTTCGGGCGACCGGGCAGTATTCTCACCCTCACACAGATCGAATGGCGAAATGTGGTGCATATATATTTGGTGCCTCGTTGTACTTTCAACTAGCAGGTCACAGGTTTAAATCCTGTTTCATATACTTCAGTGAGGACAGATAAGTAGTATCACCAACGCACTGTGTGATTTAAAGCCAAATACAAAAAAGTGTACTTGGTTAGTTAATGTACTATCTGAACAACCAATAGTGAAAACAAAAATAAAACCAATAGATTAAAAAAATGTACAAACATAACTAAACTGATTAGGATGACTTAATTCAATGCCACATATGTATCCAATATTTAATGAATTCCTGATATGTACCATTTTGTCTCATAAAATCAATTATAGTGCACACCACAATTTTCTATTTATAGAAAGGCAGAACCTCTGGTGATATTGCTTATCCGTAAATTCCCTAACTTTTGCCACACTCTGGCACAATCAAAAGCACAACTTTTTAATTTCGAAACGATCTACTTGGCTCTAATCTTATATTTATCCAACTAGGACCTTAAGACACAAACGGTACATTTAATAGAGTAGTCATGACAGACCATTCCAACTTTTGTATCTAGGTAGCAAATAAGGTCATTATTATTATTATTATTATTATTATTATTATTATTATTATTATTATTATTATTATTATTATTATTAATGGCTTTATTCAATATATTTTTGGTACAACATAGAATTCTCAGCACAAAGTATTTCAACAAGTTTGCTTTTCTTATTTCTTCATCTATCCTGACGATAAATATTGAGTGATCACCAGTTAGATGTTAGCAGTTCAAGAATTGACATCTGAACAATGATCATTCTTTTCAATGCATATTGACATCCATCACAATGTCTCTGACCATACTTTTTTTGTAACTCGTACGGCGAAAGATCGTAAGCTCTTCATAAACACGCAAAAGACACATAACTTGTCCAGATATGTTGATGTCAGAAACAGGTAACCCAGATATTCAAGAAGGCCGCCAAATTTAAGCTAACTTGAAATATTATGGACTGAAGAGATAAACTTATGAAGATATCTTAAAGTAAACTAGTACATTTAAGAAAGAATTTGAAGAAATTTACGAATTCACCATTAAATTTAAAAGAACCATCTCAGAAACACGTATCATTTACCGATCTCAATGGCAGAAAACAATTGCGAAAGACAAAACATGCAATTTAACAGTTCATGAAGCATATATACTTGAGATGTTGCTTAAAGTTAATAGAAAGATTTATAAATACACCACACTTCCTGTAAGTAAATAATAGGCATTTCATTGATATTTGAGTTGATAAAATCTATGAAGCTACATGTTTACTGTGATTCAGTCCCCAGATCGTTTATATATCCATAAATTATGAAAAAGTTTATGTTTGGTGATTAGTTCGTCAAATATTCTAGTTACTGAGTCGCAATATAAATATAAAACATATATCTCATGTGAATAACATATACCTTATATACCAAGGAGATTTCAAAGTATTCTACTTTGAGATCAATTGTTTGAAAGAGCGTCGATGATACTACTTGACCAGTAAAATCAAAGTGGTTTGAGATCAGAACATGAAGCGTACTGGTTGAAAAAGGTAAATGCTTTAGCCATTAAGTCAGTGTTCCACAAAAACAGTGGACAAAACTACTGATTTTCAAAGTAGCATAAAATGAATATATAACCTTTTAAAAATATACACAACAGTAAACAGGATCAAGAAGACCTTTAGGATCACCTGTCGAGCCTTATGACTTAAAATCCACACAATATTCAAACACGTACAAGTAAACAAAAAGCAGTATCGAGGCAAATAGTGAGAAATTACACAGGACTCACCATCATAGTCCCACCAATGCTGGGCGAAACGTTTGAAGTTAGCGCCTTCTGTTTCGTCGACTTGCATACTGGAAAAATTCTGACAACTCTTCATTCCACTGAGGGATGGAAAACATTTCTGCTTGAGTAATTTCACAGCAGGAAACAAGTAATGAAGTGCCATAGTTTCTTAGTTCTGTAGAGAAAATACGAAAAGATCCACCAAGAAGAGCATCAATAACAGCATTAGGGACTAGTTAGATGAAAACACTCCATAGCATCGGATTTAATTTGGTTTAAAAGAATATTTTTCGGTACGCTACAAGCTAGGTAAATGGATTCCCACTTAATTTGATGAACATCAAAAGATCACATAAAGAATCCTACAATTACTTGCATCAACCTAGAAGTTAAGGATTGATGCACTGATAACTTGACACACATGACATTGATCACCACTACTCAGTGATCAATCCATTGTGATTGATGCACTGTATTTTGAAAACGAGTTGGAATCAGTTGACTGGAAACAGCATAGATATTAGTATAAGGAAGTAATGAAACATAGAACTGAATTCAACAAATTTCAAACTAACTTTCCACAATAAAAACAAACGACGGTCAGAGATTCGATTGAAAACAAAGTAAGCTTAAGGGAAGAAAGAAATACTTCAAGACTATCTGAGGAATAATTGAAAAAATCAAGATGGAAAGTAGACTATATAATTCGAATAAATGTTTCTAATCCTCATAATAGTTACGAAGTTGAGAAAGTACTGGATGGGAATGATTGGGAATTAACAACACGAACCATTTAATCCGAGCGTCTACAGATTAAAACTTATCAATGATAGATATTTTAAGTCTCAGAGAATCACACAGAAACAGTCCGAATATGCAATTTACAATTTTTCGCTCCACAATAAATTCTATTGGGAAATATGCAAGAAATTTACAACAGATTTAGTGAATGCTACTACGGTAGTTATAGTCATCAAGATTGAGAAGTGATTTCTTTAACCAAGCAAAATCGGTACAGTTGGATGACCCAATTCCTAAGTAATTTTAGGTCTAATTAGAAGTGATCAGCCACAAATCGCTCGCTTTTCTACTCAAAAACATATCAGATATACTTAAATATTATTATTCAAGCTGTTACATTGAGTTTTAGAATGTAATTTGTTACTATATAGAAAGAATCTCGTAACATGATTTCAACGGATTAGATTAACTTTTTTATGGTTTCTGATAATTTGCACTTGTTCGCATTTCTAAAAGAAACCTAAATACACTGTAATATATTTTTCAGTATATCACTACACACAGAGTTGAAGTAGACGCTTAACCTGAATTTTACTAAGTAAAGACGTGAAGAAACATAAATCTATACATGAGAATTATACATTTAAGACATTACTTAACGTTGTCAGTTTGAAGGGAAATACACTAGAACTTCTCATTCGTAGACAATAACAGTTCTGTATAAGTGCAAGGAAAATATGTCTGATCTACATGGTTAGTTCTGAACATCCCGATAGACTAGATAATGTTACGAGTCTACGTCATAGTGATGAGCCTTATAAAACTGTAATTAAAATGAAAAACTCAGTAGTGAAGTTCGAAAGACTGATAATATCATACTGAACGGATGCGACTCAATAGCATAAACATACAGCAAATATAATTGCTCCTACAATCTCCTGTTTCACTGAGATTCAAGAATATAATGTATGGTTATTGATTACGAAGGATTAGTAAACAGCAAAAATACAACTTATTACATGTATTCTTAGAGATTTAGATGAAAATACCTACATTATTCAAGCATATTTGTTTATAAACAGGGTAAACTATCAAATAGGATTGTTAAGACTCTGTAGCAGTATCATTCGAAGTACAAAGATGTTCGATGGGTAAATACCTCCAACCACTACTTAACATTTCAACACAGTGCATGCGTTGTCGACTCACCTAAACCAGTGGCTACAATGCAACTTGATTACCAATTATAGGACTAAACAAACATAGGATTGATCGCTTCTCAGAGATCTTACCCCAAGCCACTAAACTACAATGATAATACCTAATCAGGAGTTCAGTTTTTTTCAAATTATGGATTAGCTTATACAAATAATAGAAATTAAAACTCCATTATACGGTATAATACAATACATGTTACGTATTATGGAAATTTACGAAGATATGACGAAACTGTATTCATACAAGAATTACTTAATCAACTTCTCTAATCTTCCACTTTGCAAACAATTAGAAATACGTAATTACTGATATTTTCAGATCGCTTGGTATAAAACATAAAACATTATAAGGACTACGGCAACATCAACTGGAGCGAACATGCCATTTTAATAACTTTATTCATCGCTAATGACTCGGTGCGTAAACCCATTACAAAAACATTAATCTTATGCCAAATGCACATATAAAAAGTCGAATAGACACATGTCTTATGAATAATATGCATACAAAAATTCATCAGGAAAGGAAGTGAAAAGACAAACTACAAGTATGTTTATAAGTATGTATGTTACTTTATTGATAAATTCATTTGACATAAAAAAAGAAAATTAACACAGGTTTGCAGAAAAATAAAATAGTAACATCAAATCATGAAGAATAGGAATTCAAGGAATTCACAGCGAGAGTTTAAAAAGTGGTCAATTGGTAGAATGAACAGAGTCTCTAAGTTTGTAAGAAGTAAGTGGAGACATATCACAATGGCTACTGACAAAAAAGAATTCATATTAAATAATCAGAGAGATGATAACTGAAAATAATACATCAAGCGAAATATTGTACAGAGAAATAGAGAATAGTGATAGAGAGAGGAAGAAAATACCAAGATATTTACAATAACCAGCAATGTAATAGCATTACATGTACAACAAAGAAATAAGTCAAGAATATAAACATTGCTTTAGGTCTAGGTTGACTTTGCAGACGAAATGAGGTAAATCTTATACCACTAAATATTCTGGGTGTTAGTTGTTGACTACGTACAACCAACTGCTTCAATAAAACAGATAGCCAATCCTTTAGGTTAACTACAACAATAAGGATAATAAAAATAAAGTGGTATTATTGAGTAAAGAAAATAACTTTTAGTTCTATTCAAAGTTACATGAAACGCACAATCTTGAGGAGAGAATAAACTTTAATACCAAAAAAGGCAGCTAAATATTCAATATAACTGGTAGTATGATCAATGTTATGGACGGCTGTAAGGTTCCTGAAACGTTCAATATCATAAATTTTATTCCAGTAAACGCAACACATCGGAGTACTACGTTTTTACACTAGTAATATAAATGCTCCGGTGAACTAAGACCCTGAAAGTGAACAATTTTTATCAATCAACCTATTATTCCTATTGTCTAAACCTGTATTTTAAACCTGAATAGCAACTGGGAAGGATTGCTCAGGACAGAGTTCGATGGAGAATGTTGCTGGGCTGCTTGTGCTCCTCCACGAAAGGTAACAGGCGTAAGTAAGCAAGTTATATGAATCTACTAAACGAAAAATTGGAGTAAAATATCTTAATAATATTATAAAATAACATATATATCTATAAGAAACTAATATCAGGTGAAACAGTCGATTTTATTCTTTAAATCTCACTGTTTGTTAATCGGTATCAAATCACCTTAATTTTTTTCCGATGGAGTAGTGGTTTGTTCGCTAAGATATTGGAATTTCACCCACTAAGTGTCAGGTTGGAACCCCGAGCCCCGACTACTTCGGTTCAGGCAACTGGATGGTATCTCACTAGCTCTCACACTTGCAGTGTGGTTCATGCCTAAGTACTGGGTGAATGAGTTAACTGATCTTGAAACTTTTCTGACAGTTTCAACATAATAACACCCGACATTAAAGTGATACACAACATACAAAAATTAATCTATATTCTTTGCTCATAACCCAACTGTTATACAAATTGCATTTATTCAGTTAAAAGCAAGTTCGCACAAGTAGAATACGTTATACATTAAGTACAGTACAAAATCTTACTTAATTGATGTAAGGATTTAAATCTGATGGGTAGAGAACGTAGAAATGATTCTGTAGGTTCAAAAGGCTGAGGAAGACCTCTCAAATCAACAACTGCTGATTCGTCTGTATAATTATTGTTTGGTTCATGTATTTTAATAGATATTTCCGATGTCCTAGAAAAAAATAACAAGCAAAAAAATATTCATATGATCTACACAATAATACACGTATTGCAAGTATCATTACCAAGGTTTGACTTGATAATTTCAAATAAATTGAGCATGGGGTAGATTGTTATAAATAAAAATAATGTGTTTGTAATATCCCAATGAGTAGAGGAATTAGATTTGCTGACGTTCCGTGACTCAGTGTAAGCCACTTCTTCAGAGACGTGGCTTTTACTCACATTTATAGTGTAAGCCCTAGTGATACGATTCGAGTCCAAGAATTGAATGTATTAAATAAAAAGCCACTGAATTATATACAATAATATACACGTAGTACAGATGTGTAAATGTACTGGAAGCTAACATCCTACAAAATTTTTAAACTTGCTACTGAAACTTACGAATCACGAATATCCATTGGAAATCTTAAGACTGGCTTAAGTGGAGTAGAATAAATTAAGAAAACAGGTATAAGATAATCAGATATTTAGTAATTTAATAGTTGAATCAATTAAAGCTAGACCACCTTGAAAAACCTGGAAGCACTGGAAGGCCGTCTTGTCCTAGTATGGAACTCCTCAGCAGTGTGCATCCACGATCCCACTCTTAGGATTTGAGCTCACGATATTTGGCACTTGGAGAAAACCAGAGTAAATGTTCTTGGACCTGTATGGTCGATCATAACTTATGCCATTCAAGAAGTTCATGATCATCAATTACTATCGACCAAAGGATTATAATCTAGGTTTAATAGTTTGATGAATCCCTTAAAAAAGTAACCCAGTGATAATTCCATACGAAACTTACTTCAATTTAGCAAAGGTGGTACATAGAGGAAGAGGATATCTAGGTGTGTACGAAAAGTCTAAAAACACCTTAATTCAAGTGGATTAACAAGGGATTTTTGTTTATCACTTATCAGTTCAACATAGTAGTAAGTGAGGAGTTGAAATACAAGTCAAATATAAACACAACTAATGAAGGTATCAGGCGGAATTTTCTAAACAGTAAAATAATCCTAAAAGTTTGTTTTTGTCAGAGTTTGTCTGAAAATCTAGGATTTTATCCAAAGAAATAGTATAAACTAATATTCATTGAACTAAATGGTGAACGCAAAATCTAAATAACCATAAGATATAACGAAGGGTGGTACTTCATAAAATAACCATATGGTTGGAACTTACGGTATTTCAGGTTCAACAGAATATGATGTCACAGGCTTTTGGTACGTTGGACAATATTTTCCAAGAAGTATTTGACTTCTACGAAGTTCCTGTGTACGCTCATACAAAGAGTCTTCAAGTAACGCGACCTGAGTAAAATATATGTACAATAATGTTAAGTTGTCTTATTATGTCAACTAATAAAAACAAATGCTTCAAATAAAAATTTACTTCACAAAACGTAACTAACCTGTTCATCCAATCCTTCAATGGTTGCTTTTAAATGTGCACGTTCTACAGTTGCATGGGATAAGCGTTCTTTCAAAGTAAGAAACTCTGCATTACTTGCCTTCAACTGATCCATAGCCATAATCGCTTCCTCCTCAGCTACTTTTATTCGCTGTAACAACTGAGAATGTAACGAATCTTCATCAACACTTTGGTTCGGGTTAACCAAGTTATCATGCTTTAATTCACTAATTGAATGAAGCATCGAATTTTGATAACTATTTATTACTGCTTCATTGTCATTTCTCATTAATGATACTGGTGCCGATTTATTGGATACATGAAGATTATTTAACTGAACCTCACTTAGGATGCTTGGTTCGTTCACACTACCATATTTTAAACTTCCATCCATCAAAATTACACCGGATGAAGTTTCGCATGAAGTTATGCCATTGCCTACCACCAGTTAAAACAGATAAGAGCAAAAACTATAATAATCATAAGATAACTATGTACAAATTAAAGATTAATTAATTTTCAGTGAAACAGTTCATCTGAGAAATCTCATCATACCAGCTAAATATGAAAGGTAGCACAACAATCGATTAGTTATTCTTGAAATAGTAACAACTGTGATGCTTAACCAAAATACTACTTCGTTAGTTGTAGCTAACGAGAAGTCAGGTGGGGAAGACCAATTTATTGTTGAATGAGAAAATTACAGAGTATCTTCGTGAAATATGAAAACCATACATTAAATATCTCATTTACACATCTTCCATCAGTTGTTATCACAATTACTCTCTTTATATTCCTGTTATCTTCAATTCGATCTTCCCAATCTTATGCTGCCAGGCATTCTGTTATATCCTAGTGAAGATTAAATTTCAGTAAACTTCTAAGAACTATTAATGGACTAATTATATATATATATATATATATACCTATTGTATAACTGTTCAGTAACTAGATCATGTAAATCTGTATTCCTCTTATTACAAGCTTCATTTCGGCCTATAGATTATTATTAAACGACTTACTGTTCTTAAGTTATGTTCAGTTAATTGATTACAGCCTCCCACGTTCACAGCCACTTTTTGGCTTGAACTTGTATAAATGTTATTCCCTATTTTAGGGTATGATGCGGTCTGTTTGGCTGGTATATAAACCAAGTATGTTTGAAATAAATGATTCACATAGTGGAAGCTGTTATTGGCGTTCTGGACTCAACTGGACGGGCTAGAAGCGCAAAGGATCAATAAGGACGCTAGGCTGCTCATACCGGTCGAACGTCATTGGTTTAGCAGTGCTAAGATTAAATAAGTCGTATTTCGATTGGCGAATAAATCACGTGATAACCAGCTGGGCTTAAAGTCACAACACATCCGGCTTCTGATCCGTGTTCCATACTACTTATATCTGTCGACGTAAGCAACATATATCACAAGTATTCTGATTTCTTTCCTTTGTAAAAATAAATGCAAATAAATGATAACTGGAGTATAAACTTACATATACATGTAAACAGGCCCAACTCCAATACCCCGAAGTTATCGGCAGGGAAAATGACAATGAAATGTATAAATCAAACGATCATTGTCATCACTAAATTCTTATTGCCTACTAATTTCTCTAATTATGGAACATCCATATTCGTGGTCAGGACTGCAGAAATTAACAAAAAGATATAGTCCGTAAAATGAAATAACAAAAACCAAATAACAGGAGGGTTGAACGTCTAAAATTTACCTATGATGAATGATTCCGTTTGAACATATTTACAATTTTTAACCGGGAGATGTGGTGAGATGTTATCGTATCCATAAATAGGGTCAATAGCTATATCAACCTTTTGGACAAAATCAGTTGCGGGAATATCATTCAACAAATCTGTTTGAACGAAACTGTCTATAAAGTGTGGCTTGTGTATCGCTTTCTTCGTAACGGTGCTGTCCTCACAAACAAAATTCTGATGATTTATTATATTCCCTTGATGATTGATTAAATCAGGAAACGGGTTCATGTTAGATTGTTTCCGTTGTAAAACATCGTTGAGACGTTGAAGTTTTTGACAGTTTGTACAGCTTGAGGAGTCAGGTGAGTTTGTATTCGCCAAACCATTAAGTTTGCCTGAAGAAATGCTTTGTGATATAAGGCGATTTAACTGCATCCGTAAAGCTCTTGCATCTGAACTTGCTTCAGCTAACTGACCCCGAAGTCTTGATGCCTCACGATCATCATCTTCTCTTTGACGTGCCATATCTAATCGTAATTGAGTAAGCTCATTTTGAGCAATAGATAATTTCAGTTTTAAATCATCGATACTTAAAGTATCTATATCTTGCAGTTCATTATTTGTGTGTAAATGTTTTAGTAAATTCCCAATGAGTACTGTGAAGTAAAAAAGATAATAGTAATATTCACATTATTGAAAGTTTTACTTATTTACACTTATCTCTTATATCGATATGACATTTATTTATTTATTTATTTATTTATTTATTTATTTATTTAATTAATTAATTAATTTATTTATTTATTTATTTTAACACAGATATTGGTACGAGGAGGCACCAAATACATATGCGCCACACAAATCTCATTCGATATGTGTGAGAGCTGTGATACTGCCCGGGTGCTCAAACCGAAGCAGGTGGTTTTCTTAGAGAGCCACTCCCCGAGCCTTCGACCTGAAGGTCTGATCCACAAGGCAGTGGAGCATTGTAAGGAGATGCAGTCCCATGGAAGCCGGTGACCAACAATTGGTTCATACGCCATTTGTTCCCGCAGGATAATGGAGCCGATGTGCACCATTGGTTTGGAATCCGGTTAAAGCGCCGGACATTCGCTTTTCGTTTTATCAATTTCGTAAACAACACTCCCGCCACGAGAAGGCAGTGAGTAGGACTTCCCTGACAGATGCTATATACGCGTGGCCATGTGAGAGCATTTCGAGAGGGACAGCGGACCCCCCCCACTTTCGGTCGTACCAGGGCATTTGGGGGCATACGAAGTAGAGAGCTTATAAATTGAATAATGAAATGAAAACGGAGCCACACTTGACCACGTTTGAATCCCACTCCATCTATTTCCGTTTGGGCGAGCGGGCAATATCATTAGTCCCTACACTTTGAGTGTGGCTCATGCCCAAGAACCTGGTGAATGAGTTAATTAATTAATTTATATTATAATCACTAACAAACAGAATGATATAATGATACCAGAGCAATAAAACAGAAAACACTATTTATCAAACATACGGTAATATGGAGTGATTAAATTGATCAAATTCTTTGTCTACCAGGAAGTAGCTTACTCACCATATGATACTGAAAGGATTTTAGCATATTTAATAATTTGTGACTCTGATAACATACCTACAGGATCTATTAAGCATAGTTCATCAGCATTTCAGACTGTCCTATGGAAATATAAAGCAAATAGTCGAGTACTTAATCAACTATGGTGTCAACGCTCTAGTTACATAGTATGAAAACCTGGGAGAGATGAAGCATATTTTTAAAATTACATCTAAGGGAAAAATACATCATTCGTAAAGGTGATAATAATTGCTTTATTTCGTACCATACGTCTGAACTTTCAAGCGAATTCTCAGCTTAATCAGCTAATATATTTGTCCAAATAATTAAGATCAAAAGAGGTGATCGCATTAGTAAATACCAATTGTTGATAGATCATTTATTGAGTACTACAACACATTGTTTGAAATAGAAAATATTATAATTTCGTTGAACTTACTTTATGATTGGTCTTTTTAAAAATTACATATGGTTGTATTTAAATACATCTGGAACTGTATATCGAAACACAATTTTGTGAGTGCCTATAGTGCATGACTTAAAACCCAATACATGGAGTAAGATATAGTTATTCAGTTTCTTTTATTCGTTGCTTTAACCATTAAAAAATGAGTCACATTAACGCACTGGGACAGTTCCAGTAAGTAATTATTTCAAAATGCTGAAATAAAAAGTCAGTAAACCGTGCAAGGGAGTAATCCTTAGTGTAAAAGAATAAACTTGACAAAATTATTACAAAAACACGGGAGAATACAAGCTCTCTTATGAGTAAGACGACACAACAAAGATTACTCATCTGTCGGTAAGGAAACACTATAATAAACGTTTCATATAATCATACTAACGATGAGATTAACACAATAAACTAACAATTGATAAGCAAGAGACGAATAGGCGTGAGATCAAATCAGTCACTAGACACAAACAAATTTCAATCTTATAAAGCACAAACCTCGCATATTTTGGTTCAAAGAACTAGTGTTCAGATTTGTTTTACTGAAGAATAATTTAAACTGTTCTAATAAAGCGGTTGCTTTAGCTAATTGATTACGTAAATGAGTAATCTCCATAGAGGTTCTACGTTTTTGTGCTTCATAATTTGTTTGATGATGACGAATAGTATCTACACTGGAATCCAGTTCAATACCCATATGATCTAATCGTTCTTGTAGTTGATCAATACGTGTTTTTTGATTTATACGGTATTTTCTTAAACGATCCAGTTGACCAACTGCATTCAATAAAGCTTCTTGTAATTCACACTTCCTTGGCTCAACGGATTCAGAAAAACCAGGATGTTTTAGTGTACGATTGAGAACATTCCTTGGATTAACCAGTCCATATTTTAATAACTAAAATGAAATAGTGAGAAATGATTTATATAATTAATGAGTCAAAATATTTTATGAATAAACTGACAAATGTAAACATAACGATTAAGAATAAATTTGTCACCAATACGATGCATCCCATACTCAGGTGACATGAAGAATTTCGTAAAGGTGAACAGAAAATGACTCTGAATACATAACAACTTCTAACAGTAAAGTTCTCTTGTACTAAATACTAGTTTTAGAAGCCGAAATTCAAGACATTAAACTGATGATTATCACTCATGTCATCAGGAATAACCACATTGCTTCATAAGTTATCCCAAGTGTTTCTGATCCCTGATACATCTCTAATCCCAACTACTCTTCGTAATATTTTAAATCGAGGATTATTGTAGTACCTTATTTTCACGTCCTGTGTACGTCCGATTCAGATACAGATACACACGCTTCTTAGCTTGCAACGTGAGTTACATAATTAGGGGTGGCTTGGAAGTTGTAAATGCACAACCGAATGGTGTACGCAAATCATGGATAGACTTACTACTGCCCTCTTGATCCAGACCTTGAAAAGGTGCATAAACGGCATCAACCAATAGCGGGCCAAATTTACCATCTCGCATCTACTGTTTGATATTAGACGGTATTCGAGCTCAGGAACATGATACATCGAAATTTAATCAGTTATTAGCAAACAACTAGCAAGGAGGAATTTCTTACACAATGAGCAATAGCTGGAGATGGTATGTCATGCTTCTCAAGTGCTTTTACGCGGCCTTTTTAGTACAATTATCACATAACTTAGTGGTTGATGCAATTAGCTTTAAATCAAGTTGAGAATTGTAGGTTCAAAACCCATTTGGTTTGTGCATCTAATAGCATAATTAAACTTCAAAAGGTTTTACTCCGAACAAATCAGTTACAATCTGTATTGTCAAATGTCATGTATGAACGAAGAAAAAACAATTATGGAACAATCAAGAAAAATTTATCAATGAGGTTGTAAAGAAAAACTCCTTACAGTTTCGTATTTGATTTCTCCTGGATTTTTAAATCCATTAGGCTTTGGATCGGAAAACGTTTGCTGATTAAGTTGTTCATTCTTTGATATAGAATCAGTTTGAACAGAATTGTGTTTAGCAGTTTTAAGTGAATTTTGAGCTTGGATTTTGCATTGTTTAATGCGTTCTTCTAATTTTCGTTGGAATGTATAAATGATTTTCAAATTATCTGAGGCATCTTGTTCACGGGATAGCAAGAGAGACTGAATATGTTTTAATTGACTATGTGTTGATGTTACATTAGAACATATGTCTAAAACACTAGGATGTGGATTAAGTTGGGATAAAGTTGACAAAGTAACAGAAACTGAATCACCACACTCGTTCAAATTATTTAATAATTGTACTAGTTGAAAGTGATCTGTTGAAAGACGATTATATAACAGAGAAACAATTCGATTGCAGGCAGCTAATTGTAATTCTAAATTTTTGACTGAAGACAAGTCACCATTATTCATAGCCTCCAACTCAGATTCAAATTGCTGACATAAAGAAACAGTCAAATAGTAATGATAACAAAATAAAGTTTTCTCAAAAATATAAGCTACAATCGTCAAATATTATCATGATTGAATCATATTATGAATTTAAAAAATAATCCACGCTGCACAATAGAACAGTATGATAAATGGATCGCACAAATAAGAACAAAAATCACCTGGTGCAACAGACAAAAAAATAATACAGAGATAAAAATAAAATGAATTAAGTGTTGACTGCAGTTATACAGTTGCGAATAACTAGGTTTCACACATAATGAATGATGAGTAGAAATGAGTCAAAAGTATCATAAACTAGGTGATTAGTCACATACAACATAGGACCAGGCACATATGTGCATCGGTCCAAGTTGCCACAACTCATTAGCACAACCAGATGAACACCGAATTCATAGAAGTAGTTACTTCAGTGGTGGTAATCTATAAAAGAAAGATTGAGTATAAGGATATAATACATAAAGAAAAAATCAGTTCGTAGAAAGAAAGGTATAAAGCAATTTTAATCTCACGGTTTAAAGGAAGACAAAGAGTGTATACGCCGACGCCATTGTGATCGATTCTGAGCCATGTCACCAAGAGTCTCCAACCATCGGTTACGACAGTCACAAGGACTCCAGCTAAGTAGTCTGCATCTCTCAACATGGCTCAGACTGGAAGTTAGTGACTTCAAGGACTGATGCCGCGTTTTGGTATGCCCGCCCCTAACTTTCTTCCAACCATCCCGAACACCGGTTAGCATTGCACGTCCTGGTAATCGGTGTTCAGGCACACGTAACACGGGGCCCAACCATCTCAGTCGATGAAGATTCACAACCTCATCAACTGATTTACCATCATTCCCTAATACCCTGCGTCTAACCTCACTATTACTTACCCGGTGATCCCAGCAGACGCCAGCAATATTTGTAAGACAATTGTGGTCAAATACTAGTAGCTTACGAGTAACTTCAGCTCTTAAGGGCCACGCTTCACAGCCGTAAAGTAGGGCAGAACGAACTGCCGCGCAGTATACTAGTCCCTTAATTGATAGACGGACATCTCGCCTGCGCCATAGGTGACGTAAGTTGGCAAAAGTCAAACGCGCTTTTTGAATCCGTGTTGAAATTTCGTCAGACACCAACCCATTACGGCTGATCAGACTTCCAAGATAAGCGAAGTTGTCAACGCGTTCGACTACTTCACTCCCTATCCTTAGTTCAGGTATTGATGCAGGCTACTCCTGAAGCGACAAATTGCATTTAGAAAGGAAGAAACGCATTCCAAACATCGTGGCATTGTTACTCAGTGTCCAGTATCATCACCAAATAGTACTATGTCATCTGCGTATTCTAAGTCGCCAAATGGACTTCCTTGAAGGAGATCAATTCTTGAGAATTCAGACGATGAGTGCATTATTTCCAGAATTATGTATATGATGAAATTAAACAAAATTGGAGATAGTGGACAATCTTGCCGGACAGAAGTTGAGATTGCGAAACCAGATGACACATGACTCGACTAGTAGCTACGGATCCTTGATTCTGATTTCGTGTGTACTCACTGATTCATCTAGAACATACATGCTAAAAGTCAGTCAGCGACCAAGTTATGTTCACACATTAGATTATCTAATGTTTAACAATTTTACTATCATTGATAGCAGCATTTCAACTCTTTCTATTCATCCTGATTCCATATAACTGTGCTGATGTGCTGTGGGATACTGGACTGACACATTCGTGCCAGCACATAAGGGCCTATCACTGATACATAGATAACTACAACGGCATTTCCAAGTCACAACAAAAACGGGCTATTTACAAAAGAAAGATTTCCACAAAACGCTGCACTGCTGAAATACGATTTTGCCAAAAAGCTGTTGTTAAATATACGTATTCACAACTGGATTGCCAATAACAAACAGCTATCCAAGATGATTTTTACAAGTCTCCACCGTTTTCTGAAATTCATAAGAAGAACCGGACTTCCTTTGGAACTTCAACTGAAAATATCCAAACCCTACTGTAAGACAGATATTTGCGCCAATCAAGGAAAAACAAGACTTGAAGCTCTCAAAAGTGCGTCGACGTATTTATTTTTGTCACAGTGACTAATGTGTTAAGCAACGATTATTGCTGCGACCGGTAGAATAATGATAAACCCCAGTAAAAAAAATATAAAAATACCCTACTAACAGTTCGGTACATACCTCCTCTGAATGGCCAGAATAACCAATATCAATATGACAAGTGTCTTCGCATTTGCTGTTCCACTGATTTTGACTGAAATTGTCACCGAAAAATACGTCAGATGAGCACATTTTTAAAGTGTCGAAAATGATGGTGAATATAACCTTAGCCACACGTATTCCGATACTTCCGAACGTCGCGCGCTATGTAAAAAGGCTATCGCATTTTTCTGAAGTAACTTATCATCTGCACTTTTGAGTGCAAATAGAAAATAAGTCAGTGGTATTGTTTTCCTCGTTGTGTATATCTTTGTATGTTGTTTGTATCCGAAGGTGTTAAGGTCTTTTTGTAACTACTGAAGTCGGATGTTTCATTGTTGTTACGTACAGTGATATGCAAACCTCTGTTTTTGTTTGTGTTCAGTGTCTATTACTTGTCCAGCCTTAGAAGACGCTTTTTATAGAGACCAATTTTCGCTGTTGTTCTTCCTGTGAGATCACGAAACAAATTTATGATGCAGGTTGAAACATCGTTGTGTCAGACCTGCATGCCACTCCCCTGTTGATGATGGGATGCAATGTGACAACGACAATAAGTGGTATCAAAATGTGTGCACCGAACTCACACCGGCTGCATATGAAATGTGCTGCAAACCACTATAAACTTCACTGTGCAAAGCATACTGCTCCACAAAGTCTCTGCTGAGTCTTAAGGAGATCGAGCTGCTGGACGCAGCTAGAAAATTACCCTGTGATAAACCGGTAGCAGTAGATCAGTAGAATTCTGTGAAGATGCAACAGGTATCTGGAGATTCACAACACTTTAACCAGTAGCACCTTCTACTATGAATCGTACCCACCAAGTGAAATCAAAAGTCAGAAGCGAGGAGGTTCGAAGATATATTCGATAGGCTATCAATATATCGGGAATCGACCTACCTAGACTGAATGGCGATTGCAGGGGATGTTGAGTACAGCGTTCCCACTCGTGACCTGGTGCGGAAGCACCACCGAGTGCCTTCAGCTAAGTGAGTCCATTAAAACTAACGCGGTCAGCATTAATGTCGAAGACTGACAGAACTATTGATTTTGAGGATTTGTTTACCGCTTCATCAGTTTCTGTGGGATTAGCCAGCGTTATCATAAGCGCAGCTTTAGATCATCAAGTTGGGTATCCTTAGATAAGCGGATAACCAGCATACAGATGTAGGCATTGGTACAAGGAGAAAGAAAAAGCACTGCGAGAAGAAACAAATTATGGGCTACACTAAGGCATGTGAATATACAGTTATAATCCCGAACTCACATATCAACGCAAAGCAGACTACGGGGAAGCGAAGTTAGAGCGATATAGATGATGCGATCAAGAGACAAAATAGAGTTAGATTATGCTGCAGTTTGTGGCGGATCCCAGTAAAAGAGCTTATTCAATACATAACAATACGCACAGTTACTAGTGGTATACCAAAATGAATTAACACTACAAACCTAAGTGTTTGTTTATGAGTAAAGCAAAAAGGTAACAAATAACACAATAAAAATGGTATATTAAATAAGAAAATGATAATAGTTGTTATGAAATGAATGTTACTTGTAAGCTTCTGAGATAACAATCAAAAATAGGTTCAATTGATTAACGGATGTTCCTCTGCATGTGATAGCACCAACAGCGTAGTGAGAAAGATTAAATCCGATAGCATTTTTCAATTAATAATCCGGGCGCAAATTCCAACGAAGTGTAGAATGGTTTAAAACAATGTCATAACACCATTATAATATTCTAATACTAGCCATGACCAATAAAGCAGAAGAACAGACGGCAGAGAGGCAACCGCTCAGTGGCATCCTCCATGGTTGAAGGCTACTGAGCACTTAAAGACCAAATTGTCGTAAAACGGTTGGTGCATCACCTCGACAATTCATAGGGTTTTGCAGAAACGTTCAAATCAAGACAATTTCAGATTTGATGGGTTTTAATGACCCGAGATCTGACGCCAACTGGCTCGTTTCTGATTCCTACTGAGATATACATGTCGCCAACCGACCTAAATAGCATTAGTGAATAAATGAATTAAATAAGTCAAATACGAGAAGGAAATAAGAACGCGTGTACTTCATACAGCCGTTGATCCAGACAAACGATCAAAGAATGAAAGAGAAATGACGAGCAGTGGAGAAGGCGTGTGGGCCAATTCGATTTAATCAAGCGTTAATCGAGATTTATAGTCACACAATTATAGGTCACATACATGTTGTGAGTAGGATAAAAAATGCACACACGCATGCTGACATAAAGACAATGAAGGTTGATAAGCGAATAATTAACAATATCAAAATGTAGCTTGAGAAGAATATATAAATTGTTTTGTGCACAAGCTATAATAAACTGCATGAGATCCACATGCAATCAGCCACACTATGTTTGGTAACGTCCATCTTTCAAGTAACGAAAGTAATGCCATCGTAATGATGCATGATATACGCCAAATCGTCAATGATATTATGTTATCTCGACGACTTAGCAGTTGGGACAATTTTGAGGCCTGATTGAAAGAGGTACAAAAGGTCATTCAGTTATCTACAACGTAGGACCAGGCGCATATATGCATCGATCGAAGTTGCCACACCGCATTAGCACAGCAAGATGAGCACCGAATTCATAGGAGGTAATAGATCTTCTGCGATTGATAATACTCTGTACAATATACTCACATTAAGTGTCATATCAGTATGTTGAAAGAACAAAGATGACTCAACTCTAAGGTATTTTTTTCTTCAGATATGTTTGTACTAATGGACGTTAATGCAGTGCATCAGAATAAGATATCTGTCTTCAGGATGTAGACGATGATGGTGATCAACGTTCTTCCGAAGAGCATACACCTAACACACCATCACAACTTTACGAAGAAGGCGACGTTGGTCATCTATGTATGCTTCATTTCAAACGAATTTATTTTCCAAATCTAAATATTGACACTGCCAATCTGGATTTTGGGTCCGTGCAGTAAATGGTGAGCTAAGGATCACCTCGATTTGAACCATGCACAACCATCCTTGCACAGAAAGATATATTTTTTAGATCCTTCAAAACGACGGTTGACGTCAAGTGAATGAATATATTTAAGACCGTTTCTACTGAGTAATACTCTAACTCGTAGCTTACGAAATTTGGTTTATTGGAAGTTCCATAAACAGCGATCACAATTGTACCCAGGTTGTTAAACTCACATTCTAATTGATTGAGTTTAGACGCTAAAAATATCAACGAGATTTTTCAGCGCGTTCAGGGAAACGCTGAATTACAGGTATTCAATAAAAATGGGAACATATCTATGATTTGCTTCAGTCTCAGTGAGCAAATAGTTATTTACCATGCGTTCCCATAGGTAGTATGTATTGACTTGACTTATCAGACCAAAAAACTTGGGTAATTAACGAATAGTAAGAAATTTATCTTAAAGTTTCCCACTGTTCCAGCTAGTGGCTACCGATAGTCTTGGACAAGGGCAAACTGTTACGTATGCACTTTGCAGACGAGAACAACGCGAAGATGTCGTATGACTACTCGAATACTTCAAAGACATAATGCGCGGTACTTATTATACAAGCACTTTCGTTACGGATTCGGCAGCGACTGAAATTCCCGAGGTACAGTCTACGCACAGTCACGCCGATATAATACTAAGTTCATTCTGTGTCTTAACATGACTTCCCAAGAAGGTAAGGGCTAACTGTACAAATTATTTGCTGTAGTTCGGAGATCCCGATGTACTCAAATGCTTGGAACATCTCGTAAAAACCAGGCGATCTGATACGTAAGCTTCGCTTTTTATAATGCATTATATTCAGATTTCCTTAGAAGTATGAGTGCCTGAGGACCCATTTTCACGAGCCTATGATTACATAAGAGATAATTGGATTGTTTGGAAGTCAATGTGGCCTCGCTGTTACCAGAGTCATGCACTAAGCCTGGACAACCACACAAACAATCGTGTGGAAAGTGCTGATAAACACCTGAAAGAATGTCTCAGTGGAGGTGATTCGCTTCTGTTTATGTTCTGGAAAGTCTGGGGTAAGACAGACACTGACCTACGTCTGCGTTCACATGACGCATTAAAGGATCTTTAACGTTTTCCATAGCTTGAGGTAAGAGATGTAGTTAATTTATCATCGATTTCAGGTTCCAAAGTCATTCCAAACTTTTAAGTGATCCCACAGATTTCGCAGCTGTAGATTATAAACGAGGTAGGAGAATGAAACACGAAGTAACAGCAGGGAAATACATCCGCTACTACGGCAAGGACATAATGTATATTGTCGATACTTCACGGGCACGATGTGCTAGTCAGCGTCTCAATGACTATATGTTGCCGTGTGGCCATATTTTGTTTGCACACGCCAAAGATAAAATTGGTGTTTTTTATCTCTATAAGCATCATGGATTTATTTCGAGATACTAGTCGCTTGACAAGAAACTACAAAGTGGACTTGGTTCTCCGTGCGTTGGACAACAAGTCAAGCTCTACAGAAGTTCGTTTATCACTACCACTCAATCCATGCTCTCTTAAGCATTTTGATACATGTTAGAAGGCAAGGAATTCATAGTATTTACGAATCACAAACCACTGACCAATGGACTAAAAGCGAGAGTCGATAAACACTCACCTCGATAAGTCTGACACCTTGGGTATATATTACAGTTCACAAGTGATATCCGACATGCCAATGGTCAGGAAAACCCAGCGTCACATGCATTATCTCGACTAGAAATGAATGTGATACAACAGTCTACAGTAAATTTCGAGACATTGAGAAACAGAGAAGAAGAGGATCAAGAATTGCGAAATCTACTTACAACAAACAAGTCTAGTCTCAAGCTAAAGCAGTTACCATCGCCTACTGACGGTACTGTAATTTACTGTGACACGACCAATGTAATTTCACCACCTTTTCTTCACAAAAGTATGCGAAAACTAATTTCTAATAACCCACATTCTTTATCTCATCCCGGTGCAAAAGCTTCGACTGAGCTAATCAGTGCCAGATATATATGGCCAAGTTTGCAGAAGGTTGTACACAAATGGGTTAGAGTGTTCGGCGTGTCAGCAGTTCAAAGTTAACCGTCACAC